TACAAACAACCTTTCTTGGCTAATGCTTTGGACTTTCCTAAAATCTCTCAAAGATTCACAAACCCAAATAAGGAGCATCTGACTTAGGCGTGCCCCATACCTGTTGCTAAGTGGCCCCAGGCCCAGCATTAGTGGTAGTTGGCCTTCGTCCACAACTTGGCCTCTCCTGGGCACCTCCAAGCCAAGCACAAGTAGCAGCCATCTGCAGATTGCTTGTAGCTCATGCCAGATGGCCCAGGGCAAGGCACAGGGCAGTTGATCTTGGACTGCACCTCCCAGGAGGCCCCAGAGCCAGTGCTCCTGGTGGCCAGCTTCAGACCACACTGAAGCACGACCCAACTACCTCCACCAGAGACACCTTAAGAGGCAGACTCATTGGGCACCAGAGCCCTGCTGAAGTAACTTCTCTGTGGAGTCGGCCCATGCACAGCAGCTTCTCTGTTGGGGTCGAATTAAGTCCTCTCAGCCCTTTGGCCTGGAGCTAAATGCCTCCCATTGACATGCCAACAGCAATCAAGGCTCAGCTATAGTAGGAAGGTGCACACAGCTCAAATGGGGTGAACTTGGAGTGCCCAGATCCAGTAACCAGGGAGGCTGCACCACTGGGCCCTATAGTACACCTACTACATAAGGCCACTCCATAAGACTGGGAGACATGGCAACTCTACCTAATATATAGAAACAAACATAGAGAGACCGCCAAAATGAGGAGACAAAGAAATGTCCAAAATGAATGCGCAGAACAAAATTCCAGAAAAAGAACGAAACAAAACGGAGATAAGGAAGCTCAGTGATCTCAGTGAGAATATAAACAAAGAGATAGAAAACATAAAAATGGAGTTATAAAACATAAAAAAGAACCAGTCAGAAATGAAGAATGCAATAACTGAAATGAAGAATACATTACAGGGAATTAACAGTAGAATACATGTAGCAGAGGGTCAGATCAGTGAATTGGAAGGTAAGGCAGCAGAAAACACACAGAACAGTAAAAAGAAAAAATCCAAAAAAATGAGGATAGTTTAAAGAACCTCTGGGATGACTTTAAATGTACCAACATTCACATCATAGGGGTGCCAGAAGGAGAAGAGAGAGTGCAAGGAATTGAAAACCTATTTGGAAAAACAATGATGGAAAACTAATCTGGTGAAGGAAATAGACATGCAAGTCTAGGAAGTACAGAGAGTCCCAAATAAAATGAACCCAAAGAGGCCTACACCAAGAAACATCAGAATTAAAATGCCAAAGGTTAAAGACAAAGAATCTTAAAAGCAAGAGAAAAACGGGAGTTCCCACAGGGGAGCTCTCAGAAGACTCAGCTATTTCTCAACAGAAACTTTGCAGGCCAGAAGGGCTTGGCAAGAAATATTCAAAGTGATGAAAAGGAAGGACCTACAGCCAAGATTACTCTTCAGCAAAACTATCCTTTAGAATTGAAGGTCAGATAAAGAGCTTCTCAGACAAGAAAAAGCTAAAGGAGTTCATCACCACAAAACCAGTATTACAAGAAATGGTAAAAGGTCTTTTTTAAGAAGTAGGAGAAAAAAATGATAAAAATGTGAATAATAAAGTAGCAATAAATACATATCTATCAACAGTTACTTTAAATGCAAATGGATTAAAAGCCTCAATTAAAAGACATGGTGGCTGAATGGATAACAAAACAAGACCCTTACATATGCTGTCTGCCAAAGACTCACTTCAGATTGAAAGGCACACAAGACTGAAAGTAGAGGGATGGAAAAAGATAGTTCATGAAAATGGAAATAATGAAGAAAAAGCAAAACTGGGGTAGCAATGCTTACACCAGACAAAATAGATTTTAAAACAAAGGCTATAACAAGCAACAAAGAAGGACCCAGTGATTTCAATTCTGAGTATTTACCTGAAGAAACCCAAAACACTAAATTGGACAGACATACGTACGGTATATTCATTGCAGCATTATTTACAGTAGCCAAGATATGGAAGCAACCTAAGGGTCCATCAAGAGGTGAATGGATAAAGAAGAGGTGCGTATATACAGCGGAATATTATTCAGCTGTAATAAAGAATGAAATCTTGCATCTGCAACAACATGGATGGATATTAAGGGTATTATGCTGACTGAAATGAGACAAAGATAAATGCCAGATGATTTTACTTATATCTAGAATCTATGCAACAAAATAAACAAGCTGAACATAGATACAGAGAACATTTTGCCAGTTGCCAGATAGGAGGTGGTTGGAGGGATGGGTGAAAAAGGGGAAGGAATTAAGAAGTACAAATTGGTAGTTACAGAACAGTCATGGGGATGTACAGTACAGCACAGGGAGTTTAGTCAATAAAATTGTAACTGTGTATGATGTCAGATGGGTACTAGGTTTATCAGGGTGATCATTTAGTAAGTTATATAATGTCTAATAACTATTATATACCTGAAACATAATACACGCCAACTGTAATTGAAACATAAAAAATTTAAATAAAAAACCGCATGTTATGAGTAACCTAATAGAAAGCTAGATTAATAAAGGCTATTCCCGTGTGCTAATATTTAGGTAGCAACAATGAGCTGTGAAATTTTAAGGGACAGCCCTAAAGTAGCTCAGTAGGTCACATGCTAGGGTTAAAGTTGACTCAAGAATTTTTTCACTGCTTTTCAATAAATAAATAGTCGAGGAAAGATTTGGCAAAAGGAAGAAACACTCCTCCTTGTCCTCATTCTCTGAGGAAAGTGCCTCCTGTTAACAAGTTATTTGAATGTTTACTTTGCCTTGACTGCTGAGCGGTGGCGTGTCAGTTCTTACCCTTGAACCAAGTGAGAATTCAAATAAACCAAACAAGTTTTCACACAGATGGCCCCTTCTTCCCATGAGCGGTACCAATATATCCCCTCCCGTTTGTAAAAAGAGGTCAGCGAGGAAAAATCGGAAAGGCCCGTGAACTGATAGGCCGTGGTGGGAATAAAGTGGAATTTGCTACTTGTAGATTTTGGAGTACCTGGCATTGAGAAGGAAGCATTTTCAGCTTTGCTAAATGTCTGTGCTATCTGTATACTAGAAAAGCCCCAGAAAAACAAGCCTTCCCTCGACTGCCATTCACCTCCATCAGCTCTCCCTGTTTTTCTGCTGCCCTTTTATAGCAAAACTCTTAAGGAGTCTCCTGTGCTGCTCTCTCCGCTTCCTCCCTGCCCGTTCTGTGGTGAACCCACTGTCCGTCTGTCCCTCTGCGTTGAAGCCGGCCTTGTCAGTGTCACCGGTGATTTCCGTTGTGCCTTTCTGATGCCGTCTCATCTTACCTACCTCTCAGCAGTGTTTGAGACAGTTAATGATTCTGCTAGAAGTGCATTCCCCCCCATTTTTCTCCCTGGATATGACATTCTCTTAGATTTCTTCCAGGCTCATCGATGACTTTTTCAGTCTCCATGGCTCCTCCCCTCTTCAGCCTCTGAAGGTTGGAATGTCCCAAGGCTCCTCCCTGGTCCCTCTTCTCTCGTTTTCCTCAGACAGAGCTCATACAGCGCTATGGCTTTTAGAGGACTAACATCTGCATCCCAGCTCTGACTTGCTCACAGCTCCAGACCCCTATGTGTCACTGTCCACTGACAGTAGTGCCGGGCTGCCTAATAGCTATCTCAGACTTAGCTTGGCTAAAACACCGTTGACTAACCCGCTGTTTGTCGTCTCCCTCTCTCCGAGCCTCCCCATTTCAGTAAACAGAGCTATTATTCATTCTGTTAAACCCAAACTGAGTTTTCCTTGGCACATCTCTTTATCTCACACTGTATCCAGGCCTTCAGCAAATTTTGTTGGTTCTGTCCTTAGAATATGTTCTGAATCCGGTTACTTTTCACCGCCGCCGCAGTTGGCTCACTGTCTGCCCACCGCGTTCTTGTCTCTCTCCCGAGTGATTACATGTCTCTGCTCCATGTCCTTCTTCCAGTCCTGCGCTACTTCAGTCTAGTCACTAGCAGCCAGTGATCTTTTTAAAGCATCCGTGAGATCCCGTCCTTCCCCTTCTCTAAGTCCCCTAAGGGCTTGCCACTGCATTGGGAATAAATTCCACAATCTTTTTTTAATTTGTTAATTACAGTTGACATACAATATTACAGTAGTTTTAGGTGTACAGCATAGTGATTAGACACACCTTACGAAGTAGTTACCCTATTAAGTGTAGTAGCCATCTGATAGCATATATCGTTTTGTGGTATTTTTTACCTATATTCCTGTGCTGTACGTTACATCCTCTTGACTGTTTTTATAACTAGCAATTTGTACTTCTTAACCCCTTTCACCTTTCTCACCTGATTCCAAAAGCTTTACCATGGCTTTGAAAGCTGGGTGGACTCTGGACCTGTGCTCTTTTCCCGGCTCCTGCGCCCTCAGCACAGTGGTCCTGGGGCTTCTGCACACATGCTAAGTAGCTGCATCCCAGCATAGGCCTGCCCGTGGCATCCTGTTGGAACAACCCATGAGCCTGGGTCCCCCATGTGAAAAAAAGGGAAGAAAGTCAGTAGTTCCGATCTCATAGGGTTGTTGCGAAGATGAAGTTAATACAATAAAAGCGCCGAAATGGTGTCCGGAACATACTAAATACTCTGTAGATGTTAACTTTTATTTTGTTTCNGATGAAGTTAATACAATAAAAGCGCCGAAATGGTGTCCGGAACATACTAAATACTCTGTAGATGTTAGCTTTTATTTTGTTTCTGTTATTTCTGTTTTAAGAACTGTAGAGGAGGAATGCATTTTGATTGTGTTGAGCTGGAGATTCTTGGGAGATGTAAAACAAATGTACCACAGGCTGTGCATGTATTCATTTGGAATGATGGATTCTGCAGAATAAGAGGTATCCCAGTACCTTGGGAGGAGCAAAACTAACAGTAATTTAGCGTCTAGAGGCTAGTTTGTGAATTGGGAAGATATGGATCATGCTCACAGCTCTATTGACTATTGGGATTAGTGAGGTCAGCTGTTTCTGTGGTTGAGATTTTCTTTCCTCTGCATGTCTTTCAGTGCTCCAAGGCCTGGATTTTGCTCTGGAAACCTGTCCTGCCCGCGTCTGTAATCTGGCGCTATGCATCCGGATCCTGGCCCCTTACAGACACTGCTGCATGTTGTTCTTTTGGCCCTGTGCTCTTCTGTGAGTTCAGGTAAGAGGGGAACCATAGTGTTGTAGCTGAGCGTTTCCTCTTCTTCATCTTAAATAGCCTCCACTTCAGTATTTTGCTGGTGGTAATAGATTCTAAAGACATTTGTAAAATTTGTTTGACCAGCTGAATGATTTAAAGACGTTGATTAATTTAGCAATTTAAGAATCTCTTAGTAGTGCTGCTTGGACATTAGCAGGCCTTCCCATCATTGTGCTAATTTATTCCTTTTGTTGCCTTAAAAATAAATATTTTGCAACTGTGCCTTTCTTGGTAAGAAGATATGTTTCAAATTTCTGAATTTGGAAATTACAACAGGAATAAAATGCTGACTCCATACCACCAAAAAGAAATTTTAGAATCAGCATGTAATAGTATTCAGCTTGGAATGGGGGAATTTGGTTCAAGTCCCAGGTCTCTCATGACCTTGTCTAATTTATTACCTAAGTCTGTGCTTACTGAAAAGCTTAAATGTGTTTATTGTTAAGTGCGTACGGTAAGCCTGAGCCTAACAATGGCCCACAGGCATTTCTTTTTATTTTAGATCTTTGTAAAGATGTATATATGTTATACATGGATATTTATTCATGAAGTAATATTTATTTTTCTCTGTTAAAGAAACTGTACAACTATTAGATTTAGTAAGGGAAAATTGATTTAGTGATTTTATTACTTTTTTGTTGTTGCTAAACAGCAACCTCAGATTTAGTTAAGAGGCACTTTTCATAATCTTCATTTCTGATCAAATGTCCTATAAAAGTAAAATCAATAATTTGATTTTTTTTTAAAGTATTTTATTCTGCCAGAGTAACAGCATTCCTGTCCTCGGCCCTCTTTTCTGGGTGGAAGAGAGAGCCCTGTTTTGATACTTAAGTGCATGAACTCCACCCCCCCAAGTTCCTGGAGGAATAGACATAATGAATGAAACTGTTCCAAATAACAAATAAAAATAGTAAGGTTGATACCCCATTGAGCCTTCTATCCAAAACAAAGACTTTGTAGTTCAGTGAGGCTTCCTAACTTTCTACTTCTACTTTCCTAAAAGCTGAACATTATTTCATATTAAAGGTTAGTGGTAAAGAAGAACCATAGCCTTATTTATAAAATAAATTGCTCTTAAAAGCCAAATCCCATTGGTAATATGGGAGAGAATTCTTTTTAGTTTGAAAGTCATCTCCTCTTTTTCAGACAATTACTTTTCATTTCTTAAGAGCTACTTCCTTAAATGAGCAGTTCGCCATCTCTCATTTATATCATGAGGATTCTTACGCATTTGCCTTAATTGTTAAGTTATAGGTTAGCATGTTGCCTTTTTTCCTTCCAAAAATGGGCTTTTAAGACTTCCCAGGACTTTCACAAGCATTAAGAGCCATAACACATAGATAAAGCAGGGGATTGCCTGTGTTTACGTAGATTGAGCTGAAGTGTGTTTAATGTACTTTCTTCCCATTCTCCCCTTCCTTCGCACACGGGGAATGCTCCCTTGTAGACTTGGCACCTTATTTTATTTCTGAGCCACTGTCCGCTGTCCAGAAACTTGGGGGACCTGTAGTTCTGCGTTGTTCTGCTAAACCCGTGACCGCGCATATCACATGGTTGCATAATGGAAAAAGATTGGCGAGAACCTTGGAGCAGATTAAGATTCATCAGGGGACTTTGACTATTCTTTCTCTCAACCCCTCCCTTTCGGGTTACTACCAGTGCATCGCCAACAGCAGCGTCGGTGCAGTTGTGAGTGGCCCCGCCACAGTATCCATTGCAGGTGAGTTTAATCTTGTCCCTGTTATATGTGGGTTTTCCTGAAATTACTGTTCGTACTTGCACTTTGGGATAGTGGGAAGAGCATGGGTTTTGGAGGAAGATCACAGGGGTTCTCATCCCGTCCTTGACTCTTGTTGTGTGTTTAACTTGGGGAAATGTACTTGAACCTCTGTGAGCCTAGCCAGTTGTCTTCATCTGTGACAAGGGTATGGAAGTGAGTTTTTATGTAGGTAGGATGGTTTTCTACAGTGAGTTCTGAATTTCTTTGTGAGTATTTAAAAGCCCTTAATACGAGCAACAACAGAAAATCTGTTGTCTACTTTGACACTCAGTTATTTTATACAGTTCTTTATCTTTCTTTCACATCTGATTGTTTTATTTGCCTGATTACTGAGTGATTTTAATTTATTTAATTGAAACCAGGCTAAAGAAACAGGGAAATAATAACTGACTGTAAAGAAAGGAATGTTGAGTATTGAACTTAGGTAAGATCTGCAATTCATAGTTTTCTTAGTAAGTTTGAGCCATTTGCCTTTCAAACAGTGATGGATTCCAGTAATGGACACTGTCTTTGCAAGGGCACCCCTACTTACAGAACAAATCTAGATTCCCCAGGAGTAGTGAGTTTGTCATAACTGAGAACAGTAAATGTTTGTGTAGAGCTGTGACCCGTGGACTGCTCCAGGACACACACTGGAGAGCGGAATTCGAGCGGCAGGCTGCCCACTGCGCTCAGCACTGGTGATAACAGCCTTCCATGCAGGCTGCGTCTGTAGTAACTTACACGGCAAGGGACTGAGACCAAGTCAGTATATTCAGATAATCCAAATGATGCACAGCTTTGTTTTTCCATGTCCTGGGTTCGTTCTCATAAACCGTTTTATTGACTATGAGCAGCTACAAACAGAATAATGGTGCATAGGGAAAATCAATTTTGATGAGGGATTGGATTGAAAGGATCCATCTTGACAAATAGGAATAGTTATGCTTTGTAGTTCTCCCTAATGCTTTAAGAGCAGTTGTTTTTCTCATCTGGGAAAGGGTTCCATGACTTAGTTCTGGCCCTCAACCATGCACCTCTACCCCAACTACTCTTTGAGATAAAAAGATCATGCTACCCTATGAACTGGGATTAGCTGCCACAAACAACCGTGTTGCAGAAGCTGTTTCTAGTTTTTAAACTTCTTTTGGGAGAGAGAGTTCAAATTCACATATATTCATTTATCTATTTATTTATTTTAGTTCTTGGTGATTTTGACTCATCCACAAAGCATGTTATTACAGCAGAAGAAAAAAGTACTGGTTTCATTGGCTGCAAGGTACCAGATAGCAACCCCAGAGCTGAAGTGCGCTATAAAATCCGGGGGAAGTGGCTGAGGCATTCTACAGGTGAGAGTTTTCATGAAAAGCCAGTGGCACCCACAGGTCCAAATGTTTATTCAGGAAACTACTGTTAAGCTCTGCGTGCTGGGGATTGTGGGTACAAAAATATGTAAGATACATGTTCTCCACTCTCAGAAGTCAAGGGAAGACTAGAAGAAATGGTTACATTAAATAAATGATTACAGTCTACACTCCCAGTGCTCACCCCCTGGTCTCATTCAGGCCTCTACTCAGATAGACCTCCCTGAGAAGATCGCCCTCAGGGCCCTTTCTAAAATAACATGCCTGCTGCTCTCTTCCCCTATATTCAGCCTTACCTTTTCCTCAAAGCATTGTGTGATACATGTTTTTGTTTGCTGGTTTGTTATTTACCCTTTTTCTGCGCTGGACTGTCAGCTGCATGAAGACAGGGCCTTTGCCTGCTTGCTTCATTGCTGTGTCTTTTGTGCCTGGGCCATCATTGGCAGAAAATAGGCACTTAGTACGTATTGTTGAGAAGAAAATGAATGGACGTGACCGAGTCCTGGGTGGTCAGTGCTCAAGGTGCAGGTTTCCCCAAGGAGGTGGTTGTAGCTGGTCATTGTGTCTTTGTCTAATTGGCTTGATTTTGTTACTCTCGTACTACTGACTTTCTTTTTTGCCTGACTTTTCCTTTCCTTCATTTAATGAATTTTCCTCAATTGCTTATTTGCTACTAGTCTTATGTCTAAATTTAAAGCATAGCTATCAAAATTGATTTGTTTTCATTGGTGCCCTTTGTAAAGAGAGAGGCCTAACTGCATTCCTTTCCTTCCTCAGAGAAATACTTAATCCTTCCATCAGGGAATCTTCAGATTTTGAACGTATCCATAGAGGACAAGGGGTCATATAAATGCGCAGCTTTTAATCCTGTCACACATGAATTAAAAGTCGAACCCATTGGCCGAAAGCTCCTTGTGAGTCGTAAGTATTTGGGAAAATAATGGTAACTAGGAAGAGTCCTCGGAATATTCCTCATAAAAAGTTGACAAATGAGAGTTCGTTTTTCCTTTAGATCATGTTTGTTTATCATGAGAAAGTCTTATAAAAATTAAATACATGGATGTATTATAGAATAGCACTGTACATGTTTTAAAATGTAATGATTCATTAGAGGAGAATTTTGCTCAAGATGACACAGTGGAATATATGTGGAGAACTTTGCCCTTTGCTCAACTAAAAATAAATTATAGAGAAAATATAACTTGATCAAGTTATATTTAGTGGTGATCAAGTTTGTGGCTAACTGTGAATTATGAAAAAATAGATATCTGTTCTCCTTCATACCCGACTTTCAGAATATGGTAGTTCAGTTGAGGTGGCACCAATAGCCAGAGCTTAGAGAAGTTCGGGGTTCCTGTTCTTGGTGAGAAGTCTGTGGTTCTAAACTGCTAATTCAGAAGTAGCCCTAAAGGATCACAAGCTCTTTTAATTTTTATTCTCAACTAAAAATGATTTAGCTACCAGATAGGACCTTGTAGTGTAAAGAAAGTAGATGGGGAGTTGGGAAAGCTCACAGATTTGCTAGGGAAGAGATTGGACGTGATAATAATCATTTGTTTTCTCTTCTTTTCCCAGGTGCTTCTTCAGATGATTCTCACATTCTTCACCCCACCCTTTCCCAGGCACTGGCTGTGCTTTCTCAAAGCCCTGTCACCCTGGAGTGCGTGGTGAGTGGGGTCGCAGCATCTCAAGTGCACTGGCTGAAGGACGGTCAGGACGCGGTGGCGGGGAGCAGCTGGAGGAGGCTGCGTTCTCACCTTGCCACGGATAGCATTGGCCCGGTGGATGCTGGGAACTATTCCTGTGTGGTGGGCAGCAAGTCTGGAGGCGTAAAACACGTCACTTACATGGTTAATGTACTTGGTAAGATGTTCCTCAGTAAATTTCTTTCCAGTTAGGGTATTTTTCTGATTTAATTGATGTTTGAATGGAAGATCTGATTGTGAACTATAAATGAAATGAGTACTATGAAGAAATATCTACACCAGTAGACAGAACAGGCTTCATTTTCCTAACGGACTCCTGAGTTAGGCAGTATTTCTGGGTGTCGCAGAACATTTCACCTGGACATTCTTGGGAACCTCACCCCAGCCTGGTTACATAGTGCAGAGCTTGTTCTTCTTAATGACACAGAGGAAGGAGCCTGGGATTCAGTAGGATGGAAGTTCTGGGCCGTTTTCAGGTGTACTATCCAGTAATGGTAACTAGTACTGACTAGAGAATTTCATCTCTAAAAGAAATCTGTCATTTTATTTTCCCTAATGCTTTCACTATATGAAGCTCATAAAATATGCATTAGTTTCACCTCCATTTCTATGTAAGCTTTTTATCTCAGAGCTATTCCTTTCTCCCAGCTCCTTAAATCACTATCATGTGTAGTAGCAGAAAACGTTTTCCTTTATCAAAACAGGTCTTCATGAAAACCAGAAAAAATAGATAGTAAGTGGTTTCATAGTTTATATAGCTTTTGTAAATCTGCACATGTGTAGTTGCAACAGTGGCCTGAGGTAGGTCACACTGGAATTAATGTAAGTATACGGCATGTGGGCTTTCAAGTTTAATGATCATTAAGACTAGATTAATATGCAAAATCATTTAATTTGGGTGTATGTTACAAATGTAGATAAATGATTTACTTTGTTTAGGTAAAAACTCAATTGATGGATAGTAAAGGAAGTTTTTTGCCCAGTGTACACCTAACCTCATAGCAGAATTGGCCATAAAAAGAATTTAACTTCTGAATAAGAGTTTTTCTGTTTTGGCTCTTGTTTTGTGTGAAACCCAGGGCAATGATTACTTTATTTCAAACAAATCACCTGAAACTAATGCTAAGAGAAGCCCCAAATCAGAAACTCTGTGTGTATGTGGAGGGAGTTAAGTGGTTGGAGAGATCTATAAAAAGAGATTATAACATATTAGTAACGTATGGTTTATCCTGTTAAAGGACAGTTAAAATACGTTTCTAATTTTTTCTTGACCACAACAGATGGGAGAATGTGAATAAAGAGTACAGTTTGGTTTTAACTAGTTATTGGCAGGGAAGATTTTATGTGACTGGTGATAATTTATGTTTTGTTTTCAGAACATGCTTCAATTTCTAAAGGACTGCAGGACCAGACAGTGTCTCTGGGAGCCACAGTGCAGTTTACTTGTGAGGTTCGTGGGAACCCATCTCCCAACCGTACCTGGTTTCATAATGCACAGCCTGTTCACCCTTCCCCACGGCATCTACCTGCCGAGGATGGACTGAAAATCAGAGATGTCACCATGGAGGACTCTGGGCTGTATCAGTGTGTAGCGGACAACGGGATTGGATTTATGCAGTCCACTGGGAGACTTGAAATTGAAAAAGGTAGTCTGTAGGTCACGTAATTAATTTTAGGAAATTTTACTTTTCAGATAGGCTTTTGTCATGGTTGAAATTTAACTAAAGGGAATGACCCTAGCACCATAACAGGATTGTCTTGATGTTCCCCGGTCCTTTCTAGTTGCAGATCGACGTTTCCATGAAGAAGCAGCCTTTAATCAACCCATTAAACATTTTTTAAAAATATTTTTCAACAGATACGATGTAGTTTGAAAGGTATTCGGTAAAAGTTTCTCACTCCTGTTCCCCAGGAGTATCTGGTATAAAAAGAACTCCAAACCATTACAAAAAAGATAAATGATCCAGTAAAAAAATGGACAAAATGCCCTTCACAAAGGAGGAAAGTATGTGACACAGAAACATGTGAAAATATGTTCAGCATCGTTAGTACTCGGGGAAATGCAGGTTATGACTAGTGAAGTTAGCATTTAACACGTAAGAGATTGACAAAATTCAGATGTGTGATAGTACCAGCTGTTGGTTTCTCAAATGTAGGAAGCTAGACTAGAGAAAGATATGCTGGAGGAAATGTCATTTGTCATCAGTATTCCATTGTAGGCGTACTTAAAAATAGCCCCAGAGAGGACCTGGGACCAAATGCAAAGCGTTGGATATTTTTCAGGGCACAAGATATGTGCCCTGACTGGGAATTGAGCCTGAAACATTTTGGTGTATGGGACAATGCTCCCATCAACCCAGCCACCTGGCCAGGGCTCGCAGGCTTTTTATAATCAGACACTCCCCCAAGAACTGACTATTTTCATGTAGGACTATTTAGTTTTTTTATTACTTTATACCTTTTTTATGTTAATGTTTGAGGTTTTGGCTTCACATGGTCTATATTTATAACTGTCAGATGAGTGGAGGGTGCTTATTGGGAAGCTCCCAACAGATTATATAATTCCTTTCCTTCTGAAGGACAGGAAATCTGTGTAGGAAATATCCGGGAGCCCACAACTATGAAAAAGCCTACTCTTTATTGACAGTTTTACTTGGTGCAAGTTGAGAAGGAAGTTGTCCTTGTTCTAATCATCACTGTCATGACTGTGTCCCTGCTTGCATGTGACATCACGAACACTTCATTTCAGTGAATGATCGTGTGCTTCACACTGTTCTGGGTGGAAAACACTGTTTAGAAACAGGTGTAAAAAAGATGTTTCTGACTGCTGCTTGCTCATGACGTCGAGAACATTTGCACAATAAGACACCATTATTTTGCATTGTAGATACTGTAATATTCTTAATATTTTGTATGTGAATGACTTTTTTAGCAGGCAGTGGACTCAAGCCTGTTATAATCACCGCACCAGCAAGTACAGAGGTGGTAGATGGAGACTTCGTTACTTTGTCCTGCAATGCCACGGGAGTGCCCGTTCCAGCCATTCGTTGGTATGACAGGCATGGATTGATAACCAGCCACCCATCTCAAGTCCTTCGATCCAAATCCCGAAAGCCACACTTACAAAGACCTGGAGGCTTTGACCCGGAGCCTGCCCACTTCGTCATGTCCCGAGCTGGCTCCAGCTCGCTGTACGTCCAGGCTGTCACTCAGGAGCATGCCGGGAAGTACACCTGCGAAGCCACGAATGAGCATGGCACCGCACAGTCCGAAGCTGTCCTCACAGTGGGTGAGTTGCCATGAGTGTTTTTTTCCCAGGTGAATAGTTTTCTTTGATAATAGGGGATAAAGTGCTTTAAAATATTATTTTAATGAATCCAGCAATCTCTAAAGATATATTTTCCCCAGTGACAGTGATATATAGAACTGTAGTTTTTGGTATTTGGCCTTAACATGAACTGGACAAACACTGGCCTCCTTTTCTGATGTGTTTGCTAAGCTTGTAGTTGTCATATAGAAGCTCTCATTTGGGAAGCGCAAGGTATGACCCACAGGGAGGAACAAACTTTTCTGTACCCTCAAGGTTCTTCTGGCTGGTCTAATAATCAAATAGACATAAGACAGATTAGCAAGAGTAAAGAACCAAATGTAATGCATACACATGTATTGGAGCCCCACATGCACCAGAGACTCAGAGACAGAAAGGGAACATGGGTACATAAGACATCTGAGCTAGGGGTGTGGGAAGGTGCCTTGGGGGTGTCAAGGGGTCACCGCAGGATGGTAAGTAAAAAGAAGTTTGCCCTGCCCAATAGATAGGTCAGAAGAAGTTATCTCTGATAATCTCTCGTGGGCAAGGCCTCTAATCCAGATTCTTCCAGGTAGTTAAGGGTAGGGGCCAGAAGTTTCTCTTGAGCCTTCAGCTAAAATTGCCTTTAGCTCAAAACAGTACCACAGAGGCACATCTTGGGATGACTCATTCTGGACCCCCACAGAGCTCTTTTCATGATTAATGCTTTTGATTTTCTAAGTTACTGAAAATGTCACTGCAGACATTTTTAGGGTGAGCCCTTGCTCAGTACAATAGCCACAGTCTAAAGGGTTGGCTTTCGTGAAGAAAGTGGAGCCGTGGTACTACCAAACAACACCTGCATGTCTGTGTCCCCCATCTTACTCAGTTATTTTTCTAGTGGGGTGCATAGTATTAATTCTGTATATTTTACTGATATTTTTGGTGATGATGACTTAAAAACATACAGTTTTTGAAATACTGGTAATAGAATATCAATATTATTAAAATAAATTCAAATTTGATTAAATTCAAATTCAAATTTACGTCAGTAGGTATTTAAATTTTTTTAATTTTATTTATTTTAGAGAGAGGAAGAGGGGGGAGAGAGAGAGAGGGAGAAACATCCATTTGTTGTTCCACCCAGCAGTGCGTTCATTGGTTGCTGCTTTTATGTGCCCTGATGGGAGACTGAACCTGCAACCGTGGTGTATTGAGACAACGCTCTAACCAACTGAGCTACCCGGCCAGGGCCCATCAGTAGGTATTTAGAGCAGCATTCTCAGCAGGTAGTCAGTTGAGTGGAGATTGTCACCATATTTGTGGTGCGAGAGTAAGAGCATCGTAGAGCAGTGCTCCCCTTACTCTTGGCAGCTGAAGCTCCTGCCCTGGGCCTCTGCTTTGGAGGGCTTCGTGCGACCCTCTTCTGCATGGGTCCTCAGGTCCCACAGGTCAAAGAGTACTTGGGTCGAGGGGCTGTGCTTACCCAGAGGTTGGTGCCCATGCTCCTGTAAAACAGGCCTGGGCTTCAGAATTCCCTGCTTTAGTTTACAGTCTGATTACACACAGGTCTTTCCCCTGGCCCATCCTCCAGAGTGTGGGCCACACCACCAGTGTGCAGGTGCCCTTAGACCAGAGGAGTGATAGGTAGACAGAGGGTGGGTGGGTGCACTGGTCTTTCCATTTGCCTGCATGCAAGGACCCCAGCTCTGGGCACGGCTGGAGGTGGAAAGAGGAGAGGGGAAGCCAGGGACTCCATTTAGCTCTGGGCTGCTTACTGCATGGATGCCAGAGGAGGGGATGATGTGAGGTTAAGCACGCAGGCTGTGTGAATCCTGGCTCTGCCACTTACGAGAGTTGTACCCGGGGCAAGTTACTGAACTAGTCTGTGCTTGTTTCTTCATGGGCGTAACAGGTAGAGTGACGTGCCCCACTCATACAGGCGATGTGAGAATTCAAGGAATTAGTACATGTGAAGTGCTTACAATGGTGTCTAGCAACAGAAATCCTTCAATAAATACGAAGTATTAGGTTATGATTATATACTAAGTATTAAGTTATAATTACCCATGTGGTGATTAAGGAAGGAGTAGTTACTGATTTTAGTAACCTTAAGAATTCTCAAATAAAGAAGGCATTGAGTGCTGTATGAGTTTATACATATATGTGACTATGCATACATGTGTGTTTATATATCTATTCTGCTAAGCAAAAGTAAGAGTGGCTCTACACAGAATTGTTAGTTGTAAGACAGATGTAATGCAGGTGCTACTTGCATAGCATTTAGCTGAAGTGATTATTTTATGTAAATGTAGGGTAGAGGGAGCTGTAGAGGTAGGTCATAGTCATAGCTGATGAAACAAGATATTTTGTCTAAATGCCTCATTTTAAATATGACCTGAAGCCCTCAGAAGTCACATGAACTACCCTGTTTCAATTAGATCTTCTGAGACCTTTAAGATGGCCCCCTTCAGGATTTTATGTCTTGATAATACCATTTTTATGTACAGTAACTGCATCACCTACATCCTACCTAAGTGGTCATGCATTGCCTCTTTTACATGCTATCTAATAATTATTAAGATCCAGCTGAGTTCATTAATGCTCAGAACAGTATAGAACAATCTTCTTCTTTCCACCTGAGCCTTGTTAAAGTCCAGTGTACTGACAACCATTTACTTTGTTCATTGTGAAGGGCAGTAGGCAAGCTCAGAGAGAGATGCCTGCCCCCTCACCCCCAGTTTTTTTCTTTCCAGAGACCTTGGGTTTTGAGGCACTGGGTGTGCAAATATTTGTACAGTGAGTTGTAACTCTTCAAAACTACACTGGGAGCTGGCCTGGGTTTCCCAGAGGGTTTTGGGTGGGGGTTGTTGCTGTGAGGGGTCATAGTGGGTACAACTTTGGCAGATAAGGTTATATTCCCTTTTTGATGAGCTTCAGCTCAGAGTCATTAAATGCATTGCCATAGTTAGAGTATTTAGAAAACCACAGTTTTATTAACCTCTTTTTCAATTCATAAAAACATTCTACCTTACAAAGTGCTAGATATCTATTCTGACCATTTCACAGAGTTATTTTGAAGACAAATTGAAATAATGTATGTGAAAAAAATTTTTGAAAGTACTGTTAAGGCCTTATAAACTGTATCTAGTATCTTGTGAGTGCTCAGACTATATTAGTGGGGCTAGTAAATGAAGATGAATGGGATTCTCTCTATAAAAACAGTTATGGAAAAGTCTCTGCATCCTGACTAACAGAAGTAGAATCTTGAGACAGACTGTAGCATACATTCTTCTCATGCCTCTCTATAAACTGAGGCATGTGGTATTTAATCTCTTCTACAGCCAATACCACTTCCCAGTGGTAACCTTCCCAGAGGTTCCATGAAACTCCTATTGATAAAAAGGTTTCTCCACTGCCCAGAGCCACAGCTAATTACCTCCACTTGCTGGAGTCCGTCTCTGCATCAGCAGGCTCCAGATCCCACCCCTAACATCAGCCCACGTTCTGACTCACTAGATAAACATGGCTGTTCCAGGAGCAATATTTTGAAGTCTCAGCGAGCTTAATTAGTTTTCTTCTGTATCGTTTCTCACTAGCTTCTTGTTTTCTTTTACAGAGGATGCTTCTGGGACACCTTTTCTCTCTTTTAAACAAACAGAGAACTGACCTTACACTGTTAGTCCTGTTTTTGTTGCTTCTTTACTAAACTGCAGTCTTCCTCCTAACAACACACCCTCCCTTTACCAAAAATCTGACTTCATTGTGGAAAAGAAACTCTAATGTTGTTTCCTGTGCTCCCTTCCTCCACAAGAGTAATCCAAAAAAGGAGACTTTTTTTCTTGTTCAGTGTTCATCGCACTTTAGAGAACGAGGGCTGTCAATCCTTAAGTTTTCTCATGGTGGGAATATATTTGTTCTCATATGTTGCTCTCTGACTTTTTCATAGCAGTACTGCTAGCATCCTTCTGCCAGCCCTTGTCACTTAATTTCTCAGAACCCTAATTTCTTCATCTGTAAGTGGGAATATCACTGTCTAAGAATGTTGCTTTGCAAATTGAATGAGATAATGTTTATTACCATCTAGCACAATACTCGGTGCATAATATGTGCTCAGTAATTTTGTATGTATGCAGCCTGTTGTTTTGGAATGAATGAATTATTTTTACCTTCCTCTGGGTATTCCACCTGCCTCTGGGAGTCAGTATCAAGGCTGCCAGCTGTATTATCTTTCCTTAGATTGGCAGTGTTTTTTAACCTCCGTAAGTTTTGTCCAGATCCAGGGCTTGTTTGGAAATAAGTAAATTCCTTTCTCTCTGCTGGTTTTGTTTCATGGCTTTCCCCTTCTTGAACGCAGATTGTTTCTGTGTGTACGATAGGTATTTTAGTTATCCGTTGCTGAGTAACTGCCCCAAAGTTTAATGACTCAGAACAGCTGCCTTTATTGTCTCTGACACTTCTGGAGGTTACGCGGGTGCAGCTGGGTGCTCTGCTGGCCTTTCTTGGGGTCCCTTATGCTGTTGTCATCGGGGGCGAAGGGCTAGGATATTCAGAGTGGCTTCTTTGTGAGGCCGGGACCATCCCCAGCTCTCTCTGTCTCTCCATGTAGTTAGTCTCGCCACAGGGCCGGCTGGGCATCTGTATGCGGCAGCACAACACCAGAAGTGCCAGGCCTTCTTAGTGCTCGTGCCGGGAGAGCACAGCCTCCCCTCTCCCTCCCATGGGTTCAGGCCAGTCGCGAGGCCAGCCCGCGCTGGGCGTGGGAGAGGACCACCCAGGGCTGTGGATAATGGGAGGTGTCTTTGGAGACTAGTACCTGGTAGGTAGGTCAGAGCCTAACCCCTGACCATTCCCTGTTCCCAAGGGAATCAGCTCCGTGTGTTTCATTTACCAACTAGAGTTAAAGCTCCATGTTCACTGCCCAGAATCTTCCGAGGTTAAGGTAGCAAATTGTTGTAAATGAGAAGGAATGCTAGTGTAGAGCAAGGAAGAAACAGAGTCCTTTAAACCACTAAACTCTTGCATCATAGAATTGATTTTTCAAACACTTAATGTGCTCCTTCGTGAATAAGAGGTAGCTACTGGAGGTGAGATGTTTCCATGAACTATACATGGAAACCGCACCTGCTTTAACTTCTAGGGCTGAGCTTGTATCAGTGCGGGTAGGTGGGTAAGTCACTGCATAGAAGATACTGAAGTAATGCATTTCTTCAAGCTTTCTCCCCTCTTCCTCTCTCCCTCCCTGCCCCTTCTCTGCAGTTCCTTTCGAAACGAACACAAAAGCAGGAATATTCACATCATCTGATGCCACTCAGAGTGGTAAGAGAGATGGTTCAGAAACTGGACTCTTGGGTTCACTTCCAGTGAAGGAACATTCCAGTGCAGTGGAATCACCATCGGAGAAAAGCACGAGTGGGGCCTCAGTCCCTGATGCCCCCATTATCCTGAGCCCCCCTCAGACCCACACCCCAGACACATACCACCTGGTCTGGAGGGCGGGGAAGGACGGCGGGCTGCCCATCAATGCCTATTTTGTGAAGTATCGAAAGGTAATGTCTTCTCGCACGTCACCTTTTCTCATACCTAGCACTGTGTGAATAGCGTATACTTACTGTCCTCTACTTTTGGGAGTGGCAGGAAAGAGAACAAGACACTCTGGAGGGTGTTTGGGAGAAGCGTCCCAGCTGGATCTACCAGCGTGTAAAAGTAATAAGAGTGCAGTATAAACAATTTCCCCCAAATTTGGATTCAGAGAACCCAGTACCTCCTCAATATATTTTATCAAACGTTTTAACCCCTTGGGTATAAAGTGCTATATAAACCACTTTTTAAAAAGTCATCCCCCTCTCTAGAATAGTAGTATTGGTAATTTATTGCAGTAAACTTTGGTCCTTTGTTGATGTTTCAGATGTTTTCCTGCCAGAGACTTGTGTTAAAGCAAAATTAAAAAATCGCCTCTGTTTAATGAGACTAGCAGATGAATGAAAGGGAAGAGATGCACTCACTTTTAAAAATGTTTTTTGTTCAAGACATTTGGTGTCCACCATTTAATAGTAATATTTTTAATATCTGGAAAAATTAACATCATGAGATTTGAACGTTTATTTACTTTTTCTAACCTGAGAATTCTAGATGCAGGAAGTTTCACTGGAATTCTTACCACACAGAAACTTCCAATAATGTTGTCTCTTGGTTCCATTAGTGGAGACATAATGGATTGGATCTTGTTTAAATTTATTTCATCCAACATGTATTAAACAGTGTCAAGACATAAAGCAAGACTGCTAGAAATATATGACACATAATTATATAATACACAATACACAAACATGTATACTGTACTCTAATGTATTACATGTATCATGGATAGTATATACTATTATTAATACACATTATTAGATACTTATTTTATTACCCCAGTAGCCCAGCAAGAAAGGAGTATTGTTTCCACTACAAGTAAAGGGAATAAACTCTGGGAAATCATTTCACTTGCTTGAGGCCGCAGTTAGTGGTAGGGAGCAGAGCCAGGAGTCTACAGTGAGAATTCCCAAGTTCTTTCTGCAGGCCTCCTTATAACTCTTATATTTCTTAATATGAAGAAATATTGCGTCCCTTTTATTTAAAATGGTACACTCCTTCCCAAAATTCACCTGGAATTGAGTAACTTCTAGTTTTGATCAAATTTGAACGGAAGCTTTTCCTACCCTTTGTCTCCCTGTTTGATGGCCTGTTTTCTCTTGAGTAGCTGGACGATGGTGTTGGCGTGGCGGGGAGCTGGCACACTGTTCGAGTCCCGGGGAGTGAAAATGAGCTCCATCTAACGGAGCTGGAGCCGTCGAGTCTCTATGAAGTTTTGATGGTCGCAAGGAGTGCAGCGGGTGAAGGACAGCCTGCCATGCTCACCTTCCGAACCAGCAAAGGTGAGTAAACCCTCCGTAAGAGGAATGAGCTGGCTGCCTTGATGTCACTTTATTAGCAAGTATCCCTTTGGGTAGTAGACATTCTTATGTATGAATTCATTAAATAAGCCTATTATGGTACCTTTTTGGGCCACATTGGATGGCTGTATTATTCCATCCCACTCAATATTTCACAGATATTTTTGAGAGCTTATGATATGTATAGGCCTTAGGGTAGGTGATGCAGGGAGAACAGACATGATCAAGATGACATACATCCGAATGGAGCTTCTGCTTTGCTAAGAAAGGTAAGACATATCCATAAATACCAACTACAAGGCAAAAGCTCAGTTCAGCTAATATTTATTGGGTGCCTTCTATGTGCCTGGCAATAGACAAAATATACAAAACTCCTTGTTTTCATGGAGCTTACATTCTAGTTGGGAGAGATTTATACCTAAGTTATAAGTATATTAGAAGGTGGTGAATGTTAGCAAGAAAAATAAATTAGGGGTGGATGTAGGAAGTATATGGGGTAGCAGTTGTCACAGTTTAGGGAGGTGGCCAGAGAAGTCTTCAGTGAACAGCCGACAGCAGAGCAGAGCATTATGGAGGCGAAGTAGAAACCCATGTGGCTATCTTGGGAAAGAGCATCCCAGCAGCGAGAATAGCAAGAGCAAAGGCCCTGGGGTGGGGTGTGCTTGGTGTACCCTTGGAACCCTGAGGGAGCCCCTGTGGTGGGAGCAAAATAAGTCAGAACACTCAGGGAGGTGAGAGAGCGGCCAAATCACACAGCACCTTGTCTACACTGACTTTGAGTGAGCTGGAAGCATTGCAGGAATTTGAGCAGAGTTGTGACACAATCTGCTGTGTGTTTCAGTGGACAGTTCTGCCTGTGGGGTAAGGAGGAGGGCAAGGGTGTAGGCAGAGACCAGACTACGGTGAGCACTAGGAAAGACTGACAGAGGAAATGCCAGCGGTGTACAGAGAAAGCATATTCCTTCAGTGGGGAGCTTGCGAGGGTAGGCCAGATGGAAAAGCTGCCATCATGGCCTGGCCCTAAATGACCAAGAAGATTCAGGGAGTGAAGACGGGGACTGGGTGGGAGAGTTTTTATTATGGCCCGATAATAAAGGAGGCATGACCATTGAGCAGAAATTTCAATTGGTTTTTGAAAATGACCCTTTCATGTAATTACTGAGACTGGCCAGAAAAAGAGTGAGCCTTTCTTATTTGAAGTGTGATCTGAGTTGATCTTTATAGTTAGTCTTCAGTTATTTATAGAATCTGACCCATTACTGAATGATAAGCATGTATTTCAGTTTTAAAATAATCACCCAGTTTCACCTTTTACCTCTTAAAATTTTAAAACTTAACAAGACAGTTTTCCTGCACAGAAACTTAACAGACGCTCTTTAATAATGAATTTTATGTTTCAGAATTAAGAAATATACACAGTAAAAAGAAAAAGGGACAAACAGTTTGAAAGCCTGGGCCCTAGTCATTTGACTTTTGTGTGGAGGGGTTTTTCTTTGGGTAAATTAAAGTTAGTCAGTGAAGAAAAACCCCTTTTAGTTTTCCCTTTAAGGCACTAGAAGCAGATAAAGTAATTTTTAAAGCCAGTGCCTCAGAGCAGCTGAGTATTTACAAGGTGGGTCTTAGATTTAGACACTGTGACAGGTAAGTCCATATATTTACATCTCTGTGCCAGTGAAATTTCACGGTATCTTTTCTTACTTTGCATATCCACAGAAGCTTATGCTTCAGTATTGCTTTTTAATCTTTCTAGAGAAAACAACCTCATCGAAAAGCGCCCAGGCCTCCTCCCCTCCAGCGGGCGTTCCTAAGCGCCCTGTGGTTTCGGAGGCTGCCGACCACTTCGGAGTGGTCCTGACAGACTCCTCCAGGCACAGCGGAGGTAAAGAGAAGAATCTTCCTTACTCATATTTTGTTTGTTTATAAATGTTTCAGATTATTTGGGGGGCGAGTGGGACGGGCTATTTATTATTTCAGGTTATATCCTACCATGTACTCTTCTAGGTCCTATTTCAACCACTTTTTAAAATGCCCTGTAGTATGCAAATCTTGGTAACCCAGTGTCATGATTGGTGTTTAAGATAATACACTCAGATTCAAAACATCTGGTGCTAGGTTTTTATAACGCACAAAAAGTATTTTTCTGTCTCTTCTCTGGCAGGGAAACCAAATTTATATTTTGAACTCTAAAAATCTGACTTTTTTTTATGACTTATCAAAATGGTGGTACCTAAGATTTAGGTGTTCTTTTTTAAATTGAAAGATTACAAGTCACACTCAGTTTCACTGCTATATCTTGTCAATCTTACGGTTTTTAGATATTGTAGCAGTGAAATCCTCAAAAGACGTCTTTTTAGTATTTAAGTTTCGTAGCTATCAGTTGTACAGTGACAATGGTAGACGCCACACTAACTGCTGGAGCAGCAGAGATAAGATAGATTTGCCTACAGGAAGTTTGCTGGGTGATACAGAAACTAAACCCATAACAGTGTAGTGGGCGATACGGACAGGCTACCTCACAGCAGTGATTTTGATTCATTACGTCTGAGATCTACACTTGTTGCTGTGAGATCACAGGAGAAATGTCTGAATCACCCACTTGATGGAGAGGAGGCCACGTGGTGGATGAGAGCCTCCCTGAGCTAAGCCTCAAGGACATGTAGGTGGGTGAAGAGACAGAAAAAGAGGTCCTAGGCCAAGGCAGCTCTTTGTGCAAAGACACATGTTCTGTTTCATTGAGGGATTTAGAGGTTAGAGAGTTCGTTAGCGTGACTGGTTGCTGGCGAATGAGGCTAGAGTGGGGGAAGCAGGTGGGTGCCTTGTACAATGTACTTAAAACTTAATCTTCCCCTGAAAGCTATAAAGAACCCTAAAGGATTTAAAGAGGGAGGGAGGACGAATGGCAAAAGCTGAGGCTGGAGAAATAATGGGGATGGCGACAGTGTGAAGGTAAAGAGGACGCAGGTGACAGATAAGGCAATCGAGTCTGCACTGAGTGAGAGGGAGAAATACGGTGGCTTGGGCTTGGGCAACTGGGGCCCATTTACCAAGAGAGGTAATAAGAATTTATAGGTGAAGATGATGGATCCAGTTCTGGAAGTCATGAGTCTGGCGTTGTCCAAGCAGAGATAACCATCCGAAGTGATTTATTTAATCGTCACAGCAGCCCTATGAAGAGGGTGGCATGACTGTTTTACAAAATAGGAAACTGAGACTCAGGCGGCTATGCCGCTTGCCTGAACTGAGATCATCCAGGACCCCAAAGAACTGCTGTTCAAATTCAGATGTCTTAGCTCGAGTGCAGTGTTCTTTCTTTTACCTTTAACTGTCACATGCTGTTTCTCTTAGATATTGAAGATATCCTCTGTAGAGACTTTTTCCCTAATAACTTCCTTTTTCTATGCAAACTGTGGTGTTCTTTGATGAGTTTTAACTTCATATGAATCAACATAAGGAAGTTGTTTGGTTACGTAGTATTTAAAAAGAGATTTACTAACAGTCTATTCATTCTGTTTCCATTGCCTTCTAACTTGAAAGGAATACAGTAAGTATCACTCAGAGTCGCCTGCTTTGAATATATTCCTCTTAATGCATTAAGCAGTTTGTCTTTAAAATGCCACAGTCTTCTCCATACAAGTACCACATGCAGCAGTATTTTGTTCTTATGTATTTGAAAGGGGGTTGAAGAGGTGCTGAAACAGAGGGTGTTGCTTGAGGAGTGTGGCACAGGCTGGACAGAGACCGGGCTCCCTTGGGGACTTCACCTAAGTAATGTAACCATGCCAGAGTGGATCCTTGTCCAGCTCCGGAAACTTGATTCCTAGCATGCCCAAGAGAGCTGGTCTCTTGAGAACTAGCTCATTTTTACAAAATTCACAGTTGAGTGGCAGAATCCTAATTTGTGATGTAACTGTCATACTGACCAGGTTGTTTCTATCAGCATTCTGTCCCTGTTGGAATGAAGTGCGAAGCCCGTTAGAGCCACACAATTGCTTGGTCAGCAGGGAGAGTTAGGTACACAGTTTAAATGGCTGATGTTTCCCCTGCCCCAGAATCTAGACCGTCTAACCTGTGGGGTAGGACCTCCCCTCCCCTTGGCGGTTTGAACTGAAAACTGCTAGACATTAGCTCTCTGACCCCTTTTCTCTGTGTTCATGCGGCTGGTTGTGTGTTTCATCTGTTTTCTTTGATGACATACCCTGTCTTCCTGCTTTCATCCTGAGCAGTGTTCTCTTTCCCTTATTATCAGTATTGATTTTGTTAGTCAAATTTTATCTCTATTCACGGCTTACAGCCTGCGTTTTGGAGTAGCAGTCCTGTGAGGTGTGTTAAGATAGGATAGTAACAGGTAATGTAATAATCTGGAGAGTGTTTGCTGGATGTGTTTTATGTAGCTTGGATGGATCAAACAAACATTTAAATAAGATAACACATAATTTTGAAAATTTACTATAAATTATGAGCACAGTCAGACTTGAAACACCCAGTAATAATTACTGTCCACTGTTTTAGCCATGAACCCAAATGAGCATGGTCACAAAGATCATACTCTCAGCTTTTCGCAGACAGTTAAGGTTAGTAGGTTATTTTTACTTTCCTTCCTTTTCCTTCCTGTATTTGCCTATTTCATTGCCTTTTAACAGGAAGATCTGTCAAAGTTTGAAGAACCTTTAATTAAATGGTATTTGCCACTTGCCCTTTCTGTTTATTTCCATCCTTCTTGTCTCTGGCGCCGGGGATTCTGAAATGAATGTTTCCGCTTCTAGTCCCGGAGGCCCCTGACCGGCCCACCATCTCCACTGCCTCGGAGACGTCCGTCTACGTCACCTGGATCCCTCGGGCCAACGGGGGTTCTCCAATCACTGCCTTCAAGGTGGAATATAAACGCATGAGGAGTAGCGATTGGCTGGTGGCAGCTGAGGACATCCCTCCTTCCAGGCTCTCTGTGGAAGTNCCGTTAGAGCCACACAATTGCTTGGTCAGCAGGGAGAGTTAGGTACACAGTTTAAATGGCTGATGTTTCCCCTGCCCCAGAATCTAGACCGTCTAACCTGTGGGGTAGGACCTCCCCTCCCCTTGGCGGTTTGAACTGAAAACTGCTAGACATTAGCTCTCTGACCCCTTTTCTCTGTGTTCATGCGGCTGGTTGTGTGTTTCATCTGTTTTCTTTGATGACATACCCTGTCTTCCTGCTTTCATCCTGAGCAGTGTTCTCTTTCCCTTATTATCAGTATTGATTTTGTTAGTCAAATTTTATCTCTATTCACGGCTTACAGCCTGCGTTTTGGAGTAGCAGTCCTGTGAGGTGTGTTAAGATAGGATAGTAACAGGTAATGTAATAATCTGGAGAGTGTTTGCTGGATGTGTTTTATGTAGCTTGGATGGATCAAACAAACATTTAAATAAGATAACACATAATTTTGAAAATTTACTATAAATTATGAGCACAGTCAGACTTGAAACACCCAGTAATAATTACTGTCCACTGTTTTAGCCATGAACCCAAATGAGCATGGTCACAAAGATCATACTCTCAGCTTTTCGCAGACAGTTAAGGTTAGTAGGTTATTTTTACTTTCCTTCCTTTTCCTTCCTGTATTTGCCTATTTCATTGCCTTTTAACAGGAAGATCTGTCAAAGTTTGAAGAACCTTTAATTAAATGGTATTTGCCACTTGCCCTTTCTGTTTATTTCCATCCTTCTTGTCTCTGGCGCCGGGGATTCTGAAATGAATGTTTCCGCTTCTAGTCCCGGAGGCCCCTGACCGGCCCACCATCTCCACTGCCTCGGAGACGTCCGTCTACGTCACCTGGATCCCTCGGGCCAACGGGGGTTCTCCAATCACTGCCTTCAAGGTGGAATATAAACGCATGAGGAGTAGCGATTGGCTGGTGGCAGCTGAGGACATCCCTCCTTCCAGGCTCTCTGTGGAAGTTCGTAGTTTAGAGCCAGGTAGTACTGTTCAAAGATTTCCTTTTTTTTTTAACCATCAATGTTGACTTCAGATGCATAGCTTTAATAACCATATAGTTTTAACTGTTAAAGTAATAAGAGCTTATTGCATAAAAATTTGAGAGTAAAGAAAATGTAAAGAAGAGAGCAAGTCACCTGAAACCCACCTATCCAGAGATAACCATTGTTTACATTTTGATATATCTCTTTCTAGTCTTTTTTCTCTTTTGAGTACAAACTGGGATCATGCCATATACATTGTTTTGTGACCCCATTTTCCCATATTGTATCATATGCATCTTCCAATATCCTTAAAAGTTCTTCAAAAACTCAACTTTTAATAACTGTGTTTCTTCCAGGTAAGTATACCATAATTTACTTAGCCTCATTTTGTATTTCTGGGTTTTAGATTATTTCTAACTGCAGATGAGTAGAAACAGTGTTGTGGTGACCTCTTTGCATGTATTTATGTCACTTGGTATGAGTGAGTATTTTAAGAGGAAAGTTGTTTGATATGATGCATTTCAGCATAGTTACACCTAGTGATTGTTATAGCACAGTTGTCATATTTTGAGTATTGTACCTTCAGTTGTCCTATTACAGCTTTTTATAAAGATTCTCGTTTTTTTCTCTCCTCAAAAGGTTCAACATACAAATTTAGGGTCATTGCTATCAACCATCATGGGGAGAGTTTCCGGAGTTCGGCATCTCGCCCTTACCAGGTGGCTGGGTTCCCCAATCGTTACTCTAACCGACCAGTCGCCGGGCCTCACATCGTGTACACAGAAGCTGTCAGTGATACGCAGATCATGCTCAAGTGGACGGTAAGCGACACACACGGCGGCTCGAACGAGATGGTTTTCTGTGGCCGTGCTAACAATGTACTGTTCTCATGACACAAGACAGTGAACAGCAGATTTTTGAACTTCTAAGTGAGGAAATTGAAGGGCACAGATATTTGTCTAAAAGCACGTATTATAAGTAGGACAGGGTTAAAAATAAGATTATTGTTGCCTCAGCTTCTCATCCAAGTGTTAATGTAGTTGCCATTTCATGATTTATTCATTTGAACCAAATGTACTTTTTTATGCCTTTGAACCTTGTGAAATATATTGCTTTATTTTTGGTTGGCCCTGCAGTAAGCTAAATGCTCTTAATACTTCTGAATTAAATTTAAAATGGCCATCAAGGATGTTTGCAAAATGAATCGAGAGAAATGCCACACAGATAACTAAATCTTAATGGACTTGAAAGTTAAATTTATTTTTGTCTTTGACAAGTTTTTGCTTCTGTTTTTTAGTACATTCCATCAATTAACAATAACACTCCCATTCAAGGATTTTACATTTATTACCGGCCAACAGATAGTGACAACGACAGTGATTACAAGAGGGATATTGTAGAAGGTAAGGTCCATCAGCAAGCTGGGGTCCCAATAAAGAAGTTTTGGAAGGGGAGAGTTTATAAATATTATGAAAAACATCATCACAGGTTAAGATAGAGTAAAAAAATGAAATGGTATTTGTACTAATACTTTGAATTTTTCCCAAAGAAAGATAATTTTTCAACTTAATATATACATAGTAGCTTACATTTTGGTTGTAAAAACTGACAGTTACAAAAGCATGGGGGAGATATAATTTGTCAGTAGTTCATCTGAAAATAATTTTTGTTTTCTGTTCTGTTTAAATGAGTAGTAACCTGTGTATAAAAACTGCAACTTCTAGTTATATTTTAAAAAATAATGTCTCAGTGAACAGTTCCATTGAAGTTGGTACTAGAAAGATCACACTTTTAGAGATGCTGAGGAATTGGGGTATATGTAGAGAAAAAAACAGGCACGATGGTGAAGGGTGTTGAAACTGCCTTCCCCCTACCTTTAAAGTACAATTCAGAACTTTGTGTGTGGTCTGAAGGCACTGTCCCAGGTTAAGAACCTGGCTGGCCCCTGCCTGCACCTCCAGCCGTGTCTCACGCACGCCTTCCTGTCTCACTGTGTCCTCTGTCACACACTGGCCTTCCTTCAACTTCCTTGTGTGCACCAGGACCTTTCTTGCCCCAGGACCTTGGCACATGCCAATTCCTGCTCTCTGTTGTGCTCCCCTCCCAAGGCTTTATCTAGGTTCTCTACTTTCCTCTGTTGCGTGCTTAAATATTTCTTCCTCAGATAATCTCCTCCCACTTAATTTCTAATCGCACCCTTGATGAAATTTATCATAGATGTGTGTGTGTCTGCATATGCGTGTATGAAGTTATTTGCTTAAAGTTTGTCCCCCTACTAAATGTTAGCCTCCTGTGAGTAAGGGGCCTTTTCCCAATGCTGTATCCCCAGTCCGTGATGCAATGGCAAAGTGTTTAGTATTTATTGAATGAATGAGTGAATGAATGAAGTCCAAAAAAAACAATGAAATGTCTGGGATGATCAGTCTGGAAAAAAGACGACAAGCAGCGTGATAGCTGTCTTCAGATATTTAAGGACTGTTATGTGGAAGAGAAACCCAGTCATTTGGGGGAGGGGCAGTTAAAAGGAAATAGTATAAAGGAAGAATTCTCTAATGTAGCATTTCCCATTAAATAATACACTCCCTAGTTTTGGAAGTGCTCTCAGCAATGTCTTGGAAGGGGTTCTTGCTTTGGGAGGAAGGCTTCTTCCAAGGTCTTTTTTCACCCCTAGATTCTGATTCTTTGAAATATTAACGTCCTAAGGGACCGTGTCAGAAAATTGCCCTGGGCCAAGCTTATTTTCACATGACTCCTTGACATCTAATACTGCATATAGTCTTTGTTTTAAGTAGTCTTACAATAAATTTCTTTAAATATGCTATACACATCATATTTCTTTAAATAGTGTAGCATTCCTCTTACTGTTTACCCAATGGAATTATTTTTGTAATATTATTAACAATTTATCATCTGAGTTTTAATACCTGGCACATAGTAGGTGCTCAGTAAATATTTGTTGAATGAAATTGTCTCTCTTTTCTTAATCTGGAAAAGTAGAAAAGAAATTCATTCCTAAAATTTTCTTTAAACATAAACAATTGGGGAAATGTAGAAAGATAATTGTTAGTAGCAAAACAATTGTCTGAAGTCAAGATAGCAGCTGCCTTGAGGGAGAAGTGACTGGAAAACGCAAGAGGAGGACCTTTGCGTGCCAGTCATACTCTCTTCCTTGACCTGGGTGTCAGCACCGTGTTCAGGTTGTGAACATTCAGTGAGCTGTGCAGTTATGGGCACTTTTCCTCCTGCATATTTTACTTCATAAAAAGGCTATTTTTAAAAAAAGAAATGGAAAGAATTGTTAGTGACTGTTCTACATCTTAGTCCTAGCTAGGTCTTCATTTTAGTTTTGCTGGGTTAGGAGCGTGGGACTGTCAGATTTTTATTTTTTAAATCTTTTGACGGAGGTTAAACATTTGTTATAAAATAGTTTTAAACAAGGCAAATGTAAATAAAATTAACACCCCTCTCTGTCTCTGTCTCTCTCTCTCTCTTTCTCTCTGTCTCCCCCCACCCTCCTAGTTCTCTTATTTGGAAATATCCACTGGTAAGGTTATAAACTGTCTCCTGTAGTTACAGCTGTGAACTTTGTGAGCTTTGTGCTGTGAATATTGAGTGTGGAACTGGGAAGTTACTTTAAAGGAGCGCTTGTATCCAGTGGGAGGGCCTTGACTGTGAGTTTCGCCTCACGGTTCACAGAGACCGTGTTTATAAACGAAGCCGACGGAGCAGTTAGATGTTTAAGTGGGCTGCACTGTGCTGTGTAATTTGCTTATTTCTTATTTTCGAGTTTATGCATTTGAAATTCTTTCTGTGGCAGTTAGAAGCTATTGGCCTGCTCTCCCAAACCAAGGAACACACGTGTTTCTCCTTCCTGCATAAAGCTGTCTTTAAAGTAAAGGCTTAGGTTTCCTATGCATATTGACTCAGAATCGGTCAGGCTTTTGAAAAGAATTTGAAACTCGCATTGTTGAGGAATACAGTGAGAGGACATTATATTAAGTTATCCTATTTCTGAATGAAGGTCCACGTCTAGATGAATTGTAAGTGTTTATCGAATACCAGGGCTTTTTTGTTGGTATTTTTATCTTATCAAGTTGAGTTTCATATAAATCAGAGTCACCAGTCATTTAATCTTTACATCGGTGCTTTTGGTTTCTCACCTTCTGTAAAATATCATTTGAGGGGAAAAAATGCCTGTTGATTTTAAACCTAATAATGTACTTAGTTTTATTCATCAGTGATCAGTAAAAAACAAGCTCTTTCTGCCGCAGTTTCCTGTCATTTTAGCCATTGGAATAATTACCATAACAATGGGACATTAGTCTGTTGTTTTCATGGTTTCCTCTTACTAGTAACATATCAGAAGCTTAGTTTAATTCCGTATTACTGCTATGAACGGAAAACTTCAGATCTAGTATAGTAAATATTCACAAGAATGTTGATAGTTAGGGCTGGGCTAGGAAAGACCTAAGAGTAGAGGAAAAAACAGAAGTTTTTTACAAAGATTTTGGAATTTTACCCTGGCCAGTGTGGCGCAGTTGGTTGGAGTGTTGCCCCATGTCCCGAAAGGTTGCTGGTTCAGTTTTCTGTCAGAGCACATGCCCGGGTTGTGGGTTCGATCCCAGTTGAGGGACATGTTGGGGGCAACGGATCTATGTTTCTCTCTCCCTCTCTCTCTCTCTCTCCCCCCCTTCCTCCCTCTCTCCCTTCTCCTTTCTCTAAAGTTAGTAAAACATATCCTTGGATGAGAATTTTTTCTAAAAAAAGAAAGACTTTGGAATTTAGAAATAGGTCTGGTCTAGTCTCAACCAGATTTTGAGTCAAGTTTCTTTTAAGGTTCTCCTTACATTTATAAACAGGGCATAGATTTGCTCACTTACTGAGCCTTTTCAGAGTCCCTTTATCCTAAAACAAGTAGGTTCTTCATCTTATAAAATATGGGTCTTTATAAATGAGGGGTTTTGTATTGGTGACCTGGGGAAGGGGTTGTGCTTTTGGATTGAAATATTTTTGTCTGTGTTGAATTAGAAAGGAACCTGGTGCTATTGGTCCTGTCAGGCAAATAGATCTGACTTGTATGTGTGTTTTGGTTTTTTTTTTCTTCCCCTTTAATTAATTCTTAAATCAGTTGGTGGTATAGTTGAGTTTCTAAGAAACAGTGGAAACAGTTTGAAAAGGTATTTCCTAAGAGGGATTAAAGGGGCTTGAGGAGTTAATTAAATTTGGCAGAAGTGTCCTGTTTATTAAAGTTTGTCACAGGTCCATGGAAGTAAAAATGGAGAGAGATTTATACTGGAGTGTTCAGTTTAGGAGTGTTTCTAAATGAAATGTTGGCTGTGCGCCATGGATAACAGAATCATTCTATTAGAGGTACTTGTGTGGCTTGGAGACCCTGACCCGAAAGAAGAGAAATCCTGGGGCAGTAGCCAGGGGTTTCCCGTGGTGGATTTTGCCTTTTGATTCTTCTCACCCCTTCATTGGGCCTTTGTTTGTATGTCAGTCCACGTCACGTTCATACAGTGGAATCGAGGGTTTTGCTAAGGCCTGTCTTGTATTGTGCATGGTCGGCTGTTCTGTTAAAGGCACCCCTTGCTGGTCTCATGTGCAGTGTTGCTTCTTGTTGGGTGGACAGAGTGGGTTGAAGGATTAAAGCACCTGAGGGTGTTTTCTACCTGTGTATTTTACAAAGACTCACCAGCCATAATTTGTAATGAAACAAAGTATTACTGCCAACACACAGGTATAGCTTTAATTCCGTTTATCTCTTTGTCATTTTTTCCATACCATGTAATAGAAATGCGACGTATCTGTGATGCATTACCAGAACACTTACATTAAGTACATTTTTATTGCACACACTGACTATATGCTAATGGGTGTTGCTCCCACCTCATTTTGAAATTATTAAGTAATTATATTGAGTGTCATTTGGCTTGTGTGACATGTGAAGCTTACCCTTACCTTCCTTTTCAGGTTCAAAGCAGTGGCACACAATCGGGCATCTGCAGCCAGAAACCTCCTATGATATTAAAATGCAGTGCTTCAACGAAGGGGGAGAGAGCGAGTTCAGTAACGTGATGATCTGTGAGACTAAAGGTAAGGGGGTGCAAATTTGTGCTTTTTCCAAACTCTGGATCATCCCTCCTACTATGGATATATGTACCTAAGGAAACTTATGCTTTGGGCCTTTTGTAGGTGCATACAGTTAGACTGTCCAAACAGAAAGTATAATATGTTGGCTAGAGCACTTGTCTAAAAATAGTTTACACAGGCATCAGTCACATTTATTCATTTCTCTGTCACTCTCAGTCGCTTCTTTTCTCTTTTTCTCCATCAAGAGAACAGAAACATTTGCAAATTTCTGAGATTGCTGTGAGAATTAGAAAACTAAACAAAACGTGTAAGAATTTTAAGGATAAGTGCAACATGTGTTTGAAGTGTTTCTAAACACAGTCGCTAATTCTAAATTGAAATTCTCAATATGCTTATATACCTATTTTAACTGAAATATTACCATCCTTAAAAACAGAAGATAAAATAGAAACAGCTAGTGTGGATATTCACAAATCAAAAGCACTCGTGTTCAGCCTCAGTCTGACAGAAAAAGAGACATTTTTCATTGTCTTTTTTTTTTTTAATCCTCACCTGAGGGTATTTTTAATTGATTTGAGAGAGAGAGAAAGGGGGCGAGGGAGAAACATCACTTGGTTACCTCCCATCTGTGCCCTGACCAGGAATTGAACCCACAACCTAGGTATGTGCTCTGACTGGGAATCGAACCCAGAACCTTTTTGGTGTGGGAGACGATGCTGAACCAACTGAGCCACCCCACTGGCATCTTTGTGCCTGTTTTTAAGAATCAGGGAAAACTTCCTTGAGTCCTGTAGTAGATCCCCACCCCCGTGTCTTATTGGCCAGAGCTCGGTCACAGGCCCCTGCCGTGGTGGATGAAGGATCAGGACCCACCCCCGAGTTCCGTGGCACTCAGTGGACACCTAAACAGAGGTGGGGTCCTGTCAGCATGGGAGGAGGCTGTTGAATGGGCCGGGCAGCCTTTAGCACCTGCTACAGGTGATTTTATTGTCCGGATTTAAATGAGGAAACTGAGGGTCAAAAAGATTGACTTCGTTCCATCTTTTCATTCTAAATTGTGCCTTGCTGTTGCAGAATTCACATATTGAATCAACATTTAAACATATACATACATAGACCTTTAGACTTAACTTGAATTTTATTTGGTTAGCACACATGTAAGTGCCTTTTTGTATCAGACACTCCGATGTGTTCACGGACATTTCTTAAGTGCCCACTGAATGGCAGGTGCCGAAGGCCCACTGTTCCCCAGCCTCAGATCATAGACTGGCGGGATTTGTCTTTCGTTCTCTCTCTGTTTTTGTGTGTTTAGGTGTGTGACTATGTTCCAGGATCTTCATGTGTTTCATATCGCCTTTCTTATATCACATTCTGAGCTGTCTCTTATTGATGTTCGTGGGTGTGTCCCTCTCACCCTCCACTGCAGAAATTTTTAACTTTAGCAAGAGGTTGGCAACAGATCATCAAGTTGGTAGAATTATGAATAAGTTAAGGGTAAATACAGAGTGAATAAATCTGAAGGACTTCCCTGGGAGTAACCATGATCTTTAACGTATAATCTGTAACATCCGTTTTGCCTCAGAAACTTGTTTGTTTTCTTTAGAATTGGCAGGGACCTGAGAATTGTTTAATCCAACATACCGTAATTTCCTTTGGAGTCTCCGCCAAGTATTCATCTAGCTCTCAGCGATGGAGAGCTCTTCCCTCCAAAAGGTGGCCTCTCCTTTGCCACCCCCAGCTCTGTTCTGTACAGTTAAAGTTGCTAGAAAACTGAACTGCAATATGGAAGTAGATTTTTTTTAAAAGATCACTCTGCTCATATGGGTTGTTAGGGACCATGACATGAAATACAGTGTAATAAGTAGTAATCGTACCACAGTTGAACACTGCCACATGCAAGGCTCTGTTCTACGTGCTTTATGCGGGTTAACTCGTTTACCCAATTACAACCTCGTGGTGGAGCTGTTCCTATTATCCCAGTGTCCCACATGCAGAAACCAGCTCATGGAGGTTAAGGTCACACAGCCTAGGACAGCGGCGGAGCAGGACATAAACCTAGGCAGGCTGCTTCCGGGCCACACCGTCCTCCACTGTGCCCACTGCTTTTCCATGATATTTAAGGCCCTAAGAGCATGTTGTTTGGGGACAGAGAAAAACGGGGTTTGAGTCCCATCTATTGTTAGCTTTTGTTATCACTGTTATATCGATGAACTAAGTAAAAGTACTGCATTTATGGGAACTCCAAACGTTTTGTATTTTGAAATGCCTAATATTTATATGCGAGGTTTGGGGAATTGTATGTAATTGTTCTAATAGTCCAGAGTCACATCTTCTAATATTAGTCACATGGTAGAGGCATAAATATGTAATTCTGAGCCTCATTCAGCTCAAAGTATACCAAATGGAAAGGAGTTTCTGTCCCATCATAAGTTGAAATACTTTTATTTCAGTCTTGAAATATGAGCCTTCTACAAATACAAATTGAGCAGATAATCAGCAGTTTGGGTTAGACCAAGTGCATATGTTTTCCTGATGTTCTGTTTTCTCTAGAATTTGTGGACTAAAACTTTGGCATACCAGATCTGGAAACCTTTGAGCCCTCTTTGTGACTCATTGGTGGTCAGATCATCTCAGAAACAAGTGTAAACAGACTGGCGTACATTCCTGACCAGACCTCCTTCAGAGAGTAAACCATTCCGTAGAGTCTGCGTTCACCCTGACATCATGTTTTCCTTTCTGTTTCAACCAGTGAAGCGTGTTCCTGGAGCCTCCGAGTACCCCGTCAGGGACCTGAGCACCCCGCCCAGCTCTGCGGGAGGCGGAGGCAACGCCGGGCCTGCAGCCAGCCCGGCCCGAAGCAGCGACATGCTCTACCTGGTGGTGGGCTGCGTGCTGGGCGTCATGGTGCTGATCCTCATGGTCTTCATCGCCATGTGCCTGTGGAAGAACCGCCAGCAGAGCGCCACGCAGAGTAAGGCATCCCCAGCAGGGTCTTCTCTTTCTTGGAAAAAGAAGGGTAGGAAAATATTGGCCGAATAAACATTGATTTCTAGCAGTTCTTGTGCTAGTGGCGTAGAACACACCAGCTGCTCTTCATTCAAAGGAGGCGACTTTGAAACTGGTTTAGCTGTCAACCCGAGTAAGCGAAGCATCTGATTAAATTGCCCAGCAGAAATAAACAGCAAAGCCAAAGCTAAGCTGGGCTCTAAGCAAAGAGCTGACTGCGCCCTGGGAGACACCGGCTTTGTCAGACCGCCAGAGAGGACAAGTGCTTGAAGCAGGAACTCTGCGGTGGCAGGAACACCTCCGACTATACCAGTCCTGTCAGCAGGGACTGGAGAGGCATGAGGGACAGGAAAGTAGTGAGGGCTTTTCCAGGTTACCATCCCTGAATGACACATATTAAGATAACACAGGCCTGTTTCGGTACCTGATGTCCCAAAACTGCTCAGTGGCATCCCTCCCCCAAATGCATCTGGTAACAGAAGTGCTTAGCGGTCAGCGATGGCCCTGCATTCAAGCACGCCATCTAGACGCCTTCCCTTTTCCTCCTCCAGTTCTCTCCCCTCACCGTCCTTCCTGTCCTGTCCGCAGCTGTTATAAAACAGGGTCATCAGTCAAGCAGAGACTCCGCTTTGGTGGGAGGAAGTATTTTGGTTTTCCCTTTGGCCCCAGTGTAAGAGAATGAAAGAAAAGCCAAGGAAGACGCCAGCAGTGACAGGCGGTTTCGGCTGCGATCAGCCAGTTCCCTCATGGGATCCCTTTGTAGTTTATCACTAAGGGGACAAAGTGGCTTTATTGGCTTGGTCCTTCCAGGAGGTAGGCAGGGAAGAGGTGCTAGTGAGGGTGGTGCCAGGCTCAGAGGGTTGAGATCGTTTCTTGGGTCTTTTTCTAAATGGTTTTAATGGCGCTGACTTTAATTGTGTGAGCGTGGGCTGAATTATTAAAAGGAAAGTGATGATTTGGTTGCCTGAGCAAGATGAATCTGATTAAAGTTATTTTCTGTGACTTGATAATGTCTAAAGATGGAAATTTAAAGTAGTTATGTCCATTCAGTCGTCATTCAGAAGGTCCTCGCCGACTCTTCTGTGTGCCCGGCTCAGAGGCACAGCGGTGATATGCGGGCAAGGAAAGGAAGCGCGGCCTCTGCCCGCAGTGTGGAGTCTCAGGAGCAAGGCGAGCAGGCCCCTCCCAGCCACACACTGTGCGAGCTGCTCAGGAGAGGAGGGACCCTCATCCAGCCCCTCTCACTCTAACAAGGCTGAAGCATTTATCAGACTCTGACAGCAGATCCTGGGAATTCCAATACTGTGCTTTTGAGGGGGTATTTTACTTTTTTTAAATGTTCCTGGTAGCTGTGCCTCCGGAAATCGGAATTTTGAGGCCATTGTTTACGTGGTCTTAATATAAGAAAATGGAATAATTAGCTTTTGCCTTTAGTACCCACAATTTCCGAAGTAGCTATAATAACGAAGGAACTATATGAGTAGTCAGTAGGTGTATACACAGCTCCATCCTTAGAAGTGTTATTTATTGGTACTTGAAGTATCCTGCCTATAGTTCGCCATTTGTTGTTGTTTTATACAGTTTCTTTCTGCACTTTGAACTGTAGGGAGTTTAAACGCTTAGTGTTGCCAGGACCTTGATCGTTCGGCTTGCACAGTATATTAATTCTCTTTCACGTAATTGCTCTCTGGTTAATTTCTCTTCTCATTAACAGAGTCATAATTAGCTCAGAGTCCCTAGATACCTGCACACAGTAAAGGAAACGACAGCAATGACTTCGTTAAAGCATATCTCACGAGTAGGCTTTCCCTGGACACCTGTGGAGTGTTTTATTTTAGTGTGTTTGTAGTTTCTTAATGGCTTTATTAATAAAACTTCCTAAGCAAGAAGATCGTCCTTATCAGTACCTTTTTTTTCTTTTTTGTTATCTCCTAACAGAGTATGACCCGCCAGGATATCTCTACCAGGGCTCGGATATTAATGGGCAGATGGTGGAGTACACCACCCTGCCTGGCATAAACCGGATAAATGGGAATGTTCACGGTAGCTTCGTAAGCAACGGGGGCCTCAGCAACGGCTGCTCCCACCTCCACCATAAGGTCCCTACTGGAGTCAACGGAGTCATGAATGGGAGCCTCAATGGAGGGCTTTACTCTGGGCACACGAGCTCTGTAGCCAGGACACGTGCGGATTTCGAGCACCCTCGTCATCTAGTGAATGTAAGAGACCCGATTATAAATGAAACCTCCCTGTGCCCCACGGTGCCAAGGTCCAAGAGCAGGGTGGGCGCGCTGGCTCTTTTCACTGTGGGAACCTCGCTGGTTCACTCGCACAGAACTGGTGTGTATCCCTGGGAACCCCTTGATCCAGCGTAATCTGTGTAAGATTTCTATTGTCAGGTGATAGATATATTCATCAGTTTGGTTTATATTTTTCAGTGATTTAGCACTGAAAGTAGAACATGTAGCAAATAGACTGGAAGTTATTCTTGAGATGAGATGGACAAACCATTGGGTGAAGACTGGATCAGATACTTCAGATTTAATTCATTGAGAGCAGAGTTTGAAAACTCCTGTCGCTGGAGGATTCTGATCATGACACTGAGTGGAGCAGGTTAGGGATGAGACTGGTGTGGAGGGGAGGGCGTACGGGAGGGCACACTTGCTGTCAGCGGAGCAGCTGGGATTCTGTCCCTGTTGGCTGCAGGACCCAGTGTGGCCAGATCCCTGCTTCTTCAGAACATCTGTAAATATAGGTGAAATCGCCAGATTTTTACATGCTGGAAGTGCATTCTGGTTTTCAAAATCATCACGTGGCCATGCAGAACATGTCTGCGAGTCCCAGACCACCTCTAACACATTGTGATTTCGTTTGTTTGTTTGTTTTGCCCAGTGTGTGGTGTTGGTGCCTGTAAGAGTTTTGCATTTTACGGTATTAATATTCAGCCACAAGAGGTGATAAACCTTTAAAACCACTTTAATTAAGGAATAACTAGCTGATACAGTTTAAGTTCTGAAATGGGAACAGAATGCGTAGCATATTTTAGATGTATTTTGGTCAGCGAGGTTCTTGGTACCAGGAAGTTTGGCTCATTACGTGGTGTGGATACGCATCCATGTCATTGTTCAACCAAATAGGTAATTCTAATTGATCAGATACAAGTTTCTGTCATGGTTCTGATTACAGTTAAATTTGCCATAACTCATAATGTGCTACCATTGGAAGAAGTTTAGTTTTCTTATCTTAGACTTTAATAAAGATTTATTAAGTATTTGGAGAACAGAACAATAATATATATTCGTATCTTAAAGCTAGAAGTCTAATAATGGCTGTTGTGTGACCTCGCCTTAGTATGATGTAGAAAAAATATTTATTTTACTCATCTCATCACCAGAAGAGACTAATGATTTCATTATTTTGTGCGGGAAGACATGGCTTATATTCAGACTTCTGAAACCTTTTTTGTCACTATTCCTAGTCCAGACTACGAACATTATCCAAGAAACTGGAGGAGAGAGCATTCAAGTCTGAGTTGGACATGCTGTTTCCATAAGAAGGGAAAATGAATCTGATGTTTGCTTTAGTATTTGAACACAGCACTTTGGGCTTTTGAACAATGAATTGCTATTAAAATAGTAGTCAACCCATTCGGTGTGAAGTTTTAGAGGTTGTCACCTGTGATTTTAACTCACTCATTTTCTTATTCTGTTCTCCCGGGTGGGAGGAAATCTGGAAATTTAAAAAATGATGGTCAACATAAAAATCATGAACTAACTTTAATATGGTTAGTGATTCAAATAAGTACATTACCCTGTAGATTGTTCACTTGATTTTCTGGAGCTTTGACGTTTACCCCTGTGGACTGAATATAGCCTAGGAATAGTCTTTCTTTCAATGTTTTCTTAAAAATTCCTGTCGCTAGTTGGATCAAGAATGTTGAGAGAGATTTGCAGTGTTTTTGGTTTGCTTGGATTCTGGCTGTTGGTGTGAGATGAATGGAAATGGAAAGTATCCTGGGAAAACAATTGCCTGAACTTTTCCTAACCTTGAAGGCCTGCTCTGAGTCTGCCGAGTGACAACCTCTCCCACCCTTATCAAATTCGCTTCTGCTGTTTCTCATCTGGGAGCAGCGTTTTCACTCCGGCTGTAAGGCTGGTTCAGTTCTTAGCTTCGGTTGTTAAGAACTCTTGCCATTGTATATGTCAGGAGAACATTGCACAATGAGGTATGTGTTAATCTGGGCATTTTTCTTAATTGCTGGGCAGTTTTCGCCAAAAGCAACATCAAAATATTAATAGTTCCCTCCAAATCATTGCTGGCTAAGAATCTGCTCCATCTGGAAAAATACAACATGTTTTAAAACGTCGTGTAGTCAAGTGAACAGACCTACTCGAAATAATCACAGGAAATGAGGATGGGTTTATCTTATGACGTCATCAGCCATTTCCACCCTGCTTCTCCAACTGGCATCGCATGCAGTTCTTCCACGGCTGCCAGAAAAGTGCAGGAACGGGAGGGTATAGTCTGTAGTGTGCTTTGGGCCCATTACGTTGGAAACACTGAGGGAAATGACTAACCTCCATTGATTTGCCCCCTTCAGTACAGAGACCCACGGGAAAACCTGGCATTGAGTTTCTGGAGCACAGGGTTAATGCCGCGCAGAACGTGCTGGTGAATATAGGTAGATGGTGAGCACAGCATTGCCGGGGGAGCAGGTTAGCGTGGGCCACGCGTCCGCTGTTGCCCGGGGCCTTTCTGACTGAGGGTTTGGTCAGCGCTCGGGGCGCCCTCAGCCCTCCTTGTACTTTCTCCCTGACCAGGGCGGCGGAATGTACGCAGCAGTCCCTCAGACGGACCCGGGGGAGTGCGTTACCTGTCGAAACTGCTGGAACAACAATAGGTATGTTGCTAGGTATTTGCACGGGTTGTTGTGAGGAGGTGTATGACTCCTTTTATTTTTTTTCCCTTTAGCAAAAGAAGTTCTTCAAATTTTACCTAAGATGTAAAACTCTGAATAAGAGAGGCTGTTACTGATTTTTTTTTTGCCCCTGCTTTACAATTTTTATCTTTCGATGCTTTAGCAATATTGACAATATTACTTTGTTTCTAAGATATTAAAAGGTTTGATGTTTTTGAAATCTTTAAATTAGAGTCATTCTCTGCATACGGACTTTATCTTTTCTCACCTGTTATTTGCTACTCTGTTATAGGGTGTTCTCTACTCATGATATGAATGAGAGCATGCTTGATTATTAGGGAAAACCCCGTGTGTATAGTAATGGTTTTTCACAGTTATAGTATTGAAATTTTCTTACCAGATTTCTCAGTGTTTTTTTGAAAATTCTTGAAACCTTAAGATAACTAAGCAAATTCTTGCTTTATTTTCATTTTCTGTTTAAAAAATAACAAATGTAAAATGTTTAAATTTTGACAGGATATTTAGAAAGCTTTTGTGCTACCTGTTAAATTCAAAGATTGTAAGATTTTTGTTGTATTGTGTCTGGCAGAAATCTTAGCTCTCCCTTTTATGTAATGATAGTATTGGTTTACATCGTCTCACAAGTTTCTCCAATGGCTAAAACTCTGCAATTTAAAAATGATCTCATAGGTAGTACATAAAGAACCGGAGTATGGACTGGAGTTTGGATATTGCATTATTGAAATGGGATTTGACCCATATTTTAAAACTTAGTTATAAGGTTAGGTGTTGTGTCTGGGAGTTACCAAAAGCAGAACTTGAAGGAGGGCCCTGTCGACCATAGAACTGAGGGCCTGTTGTTTCAGCATGAGTTCTAAGAGCTGCAGACAAAAGCAGTGAAGCTGCCTGGAGACTTCTCTTTATCTTTTACTTAACCCATCTCAGGGTTTGTGTATCAACAGGAACCATCTTTCTATTTTGTGTACTAAGATTTGCTCGTTACATTTTTAAATACTACATGCCTCTAGCTAAATGTTAAGATATCCATAACATCGAAGCGATATTTTTGTTCTGAGCCTCTCATAGACTTTATCACAATCTGTTAGTAACATGCTGAAGGACTAGTAAAGATGTTTTATACACCTGGTAAGTAATCAGGTGGATTTAATGAAAACAAAAGGCATTGCCTAAATACATGTTTTCCTTTGTGGTTCTGGTGGCCATCAGCAGGTCCTGACTCAGTGTAGACTGAGAATGATGTTATGAGAGGGCCTCTAGCCCAAGAATTAATAGATGGAGGCTTTGCCACTGTTTAAATCTGTGATCTTGGTAAAGTTATATAATCTGTCTGAGGTTATTTCCTTCTCTGAAAAATGGGAAAGTGCCCTAGGTAATGTAAAATCGCCCATAGCATACTCTGTGGAATTGGGTAATCTGCTGCTGTGTACTTCTTTATGATGAAGTATCATCCTATTTCCTTCAAAGAATTTAAATAACTTCTGCCATCTTGCACTCACAGTCGTGTGTGTGTGTGTGTGTGTGTGTGTGTGTGTGTAGTATTTGGAGGTTTTTATTATACATGATTTTTTAAGACATTGGTCAGTTAGCCCAGCCGGTGTTGCTCAGTGGGTGAGCATCAACCTAGGATCCAGGAGATCGAGGTTCGATTCCCAGTCAGGGCACATGGCCAGGCTTTGGGCTCAGTCCTCATTGGGGGACATGCAGAAGGCAGCCGATCAATGACTCTCTCATCATTGATGTTTCTGTCTCTGTCTCCCTCACCCTTCCTCTCTCTAAAATCAATAAAAACATATTAAAAAAAAAAAAAAGACACTAGTCAATTATATTTCTATTAACTTTCAAATTGGTGACTTCTGGCATTTCATGTGTGGGGGTTTTACGTTTTTTTTGGAAACAGTGAATTCTCTTCAGCCTGAAAAACCAGCTTCTGTTTGTCCCTGGCTAAAATCTTCTTCCCACATGAGGGTGCACCTGTGTAGGGCACATCTTTGCTTGCCTGCGTGGCCTCCGAGGTTAGCCAATGTCACATCTGGCTCCCAGGAGCTATTATGTAATTGGACAGTTAATAACTGGCCAGATAAATATTGATAAATATCTACTTTCAGCTCTAGAAAACTGGACTCATTAAATTCAAAGCTTTTAACTCTTTTAACTTTGTAATTGAAACAGGCATCTCTTCTCAAGATCCCTCAAAATGGAAAAATTTGTAATAAGCTTCAAATGCTGAGAGGTAGATGATATATGATTTACTCCCCAGATATGCTCAGTGTTAATTAATTTATACTTGTAGAACATCAACATTATTACTAAGAATAAATGTGCATTTTCTAATGCCATCTGAACTAGTGTGCACACAGAAGGAGCATAATTTTAGTCAAGTTCCATGAGGGCTGTCAAGTAGGCATTTTAGAGCTTTTAGCTCTTCAGTCAAAAGAAACATTGAGCACTGGCCAGGCACTGGAATAGGTTCTGAGGTGCTTTCAGGCGGAAGGAATTGCAAGAAGTCGTGGAAGCAGGAAGGGTAATAATGTTTACATAAGGGTGAATAGTCTAATTCAGTGGTTATCAAACTTGAGCGTGCACTAGAATCACTTGGAGTGCTGGTAAACCACAGGCTACAAGGCTCTGCTCCCAGAGCTCTGACTCAGTAGGTCTAGTCAGGCCTGAGCACTTGCATTCCTAATGAGTTCCCAGGGATCTGCTGCTCGTCCTGGGACCTGGCCTTGAAAGCCACTGGAATAATTTGCCTGGTGAGGTACAAGTAGAGAGTAGCAGGATATAAAACTGGGAAACCAGGCCGAGTTTTATTGTGGATGACCCTGAATATCAGGGTTTAGTAGTTTATTTAATGAACATTTACTGAGGCCCGGCCAGCGTGGCTTAATAAGCTTGAAGTCTAGTGAGTAGAGTTTGAAGAAGCTCACTGAATCTTATAGTTTTATATTTAAGGAATGGAAATGATCTGCATTGTTTCTGTAATATACAATACAGAGGGATATGAGATTTGTATATTAATCAGAAGAGGTGGGGGATATGGGTTCAATGTTGAGAAATACTGGGCTGGTAGTATCATAATTTTTTCTAAGGCTTTTCCGAAGGGGAGTGGGCCGCTCAGAGATGTGTTCAGGTTTGACGGATGGCGGTGGCAGCACAGGGGTGGGACTGGAGGGGGAGAGCAGTGTTTCTGTAATGAAGACCGTAGCCTCCGTCAGTGACCCGGTGATTGCCACGGAGATGGTCATGGAGATGAGAAACTCAATACAGTGGTTTATTGAGGAAAGCTGATGCATTTGGTTTGGGGCATTTAGAGTTTCAAGTGCCAATTGGGTATCTAAGTCAAGGAGACAAGTGGAAACGCTGGTCATGGGTTGGGGGGGAGACTGGAACTATGATATATATTTAGGAGCCATTTGTATCAAAGTGATAGAACTTAAAAATGGATGGAATCACCAAGGCCCCTCCACATTCTTTCTTCTCTGCCTTCTTAGGTTTAAACTTAAACTCATTTCTTGGAGTGGACTTTTAGGAAAAAGTCATTGCCAACCTTAGGTCCCTTGATCAGACCTCTATTTTGGTAATAAACTATTTGCATCCCTCTATTTTAGTAATAAACTATCTGCCTTTATTGTCTAAACTGGAGTGTTGACGTGAACATTTCAGAACAGGCAAGGGGAGTGTGTGCTGTAGCAATGTGTGGAGTTTAATTTGTTTCTAGGGCTTTGTGGCACATTATGAATGACTGTCTCACTGTGTCCAGTTGATTGGAACCCTTTTCAGGTTTTAAGAGTAATATATAATAGCTCACTATCGACAGCTAGAGAGAAGCTACCGAATAAGCTTTTCCGGCATCCAGTTCCCTACACTAAAGACAGTTGAGAAATCCTTGTGCAAAGTGGGTATTTCTAGAGTGAAACAGATTTTAATCTAATAAATCAAAAGTGTTCCACCCGTGTTGTCTCCTCTCCTCAATTCGAAAGGCAGCGCTGTAGTTCTGGATATGTAATCAAATGGAGTTTGTCAGCTGCTTGGCGAGTTTAATGGGAAGGGATTGACATTAAATCTGGTCTGTTTACCATCAGTCTTGATAATTTGTTAAGAGTAGAGAGGACACTGATGAAATTCACAGATGAATGAGCTGAGAAGTCCCATCAGGAAGGAACAAGAAATTACGGGTCCTAGAGAGAATGGAAAAGGACAGGAAGTAGCCAAGTAAAAATCAGCTTGGAAAAATGTATATAATCCATCTGGGAAAAAAGTATAAGCTATGCACAGCTGATAGTCAAGAGGAAAAATAAACTACTGGGCGTAGTGCTTTAGAAAACACGGCTCTTCCAAATGATCTCCAGGTTTTTACATAACAATGACCTTTGAAGCCTGTTGCTGGGTTTGAGAATGCACTTGCACCAACTGACCCTGCCACTGATGTCAGATATGCTCAGATTTTTAATAACAGTGTAGAGATGAGTATGAAAACATTTTATGATAGTAGTTCTTCCGGGCCTAGGGTTTGATCTTCCCAGTTGGTCTGTTGAGTATGAAAACAAGTCCTTGTTCAGTTCACCTGAACCCTGTCCCCTGCATGCTAAATGTTATGATCCATTCCCTCTCCTGTTTCTGATCACTTAGCTACTTCAGAGCCAAGGGACAAACACACAAAACCTAAGATTTGGTTTCCCTTACATCTGTGGTAATCTGCCTAATTCCCTAAGAAAAAACCCAAAGCACTGTGTCTAATTTTTAAAATTGATCAATACCTTCCTTCGGGGGACTTAATATATCTCCTACCTCTAATAGGGAGAGGAGGGAGGGCCTGTTGTCAGGGAGTCGGGGCTAAGATAGTGCTTTTGGTCTTTTATTTGTAAGGATGTGTGTGTGTGAACTTGTCATGTTCAGTAATGTACTTAGTAATTTATTGTCACCAGTAAACTAACTCCACAAAGGAAACTCGCACTCTGGGGCTGGTGTCATTGCAGCATCCAACAAAGAGTGTACAAAGAGAGTGGTGGACAGCCATGGCCCTGGAGGAGTGTCATCAGGGTTCTGTTGCATAATGACTGACAAACTCCCCCAAATAAGGGCCACGTCAGCAAAATGACAGACAGTGGCAAGAGGAAGCAGCGGATGTGAGCTGAAAAACAAACCACTACCAAGATGTGACTGCTCCAGAAGTCTCAAGAACAGAGTCATGAAAATAAGTGTCAGACTTCCAAGAGTTTCATGGATGGTTACTCCCTGCCCTCTGGGGACAATCAGAAGAGGAAACAACGCAGAATTCACCTCGTGGTCTAATCAGAGGAATTCTGTATGTGATCATGCTTCGCAAGCATCCACCTGTGCAATCAGAAATGGAACACTTCTCCAGAAGGTACCTCCGAGGTGCTATACAGTTTCCCTGGAATGTCCAAAATATGGTTAGTCAAATACTAAAGCAACATATTCTTCCAAGCTTGATCCTGCGCTACTATTTCAATCTGTTTCCTAGTTTGTGCCATTCAGATTATTGGTTTAAAATATTTTAATATTTTGGTGACACTATGATAGTCATTTTCCTATCTTACAGGTTGGTCAGACAAAGTCCCTCCCGTTTACTAAAAGACATCTTGGTAAACAGACCCTACACTCCCTGAATTCTTGCAAAACGGTACAATTTGTGTCAGTGGCAAGATGCAGAGTTCTGTTTACTCAATGTCTTTCAAATTTAAATGTAAGAAAAGTAGTTTCATTGAGCCAGAGACAGTTCAGTGAAAGCTTTCACTCCATGTTAAGTCAACAGCTGCAACTGAAGCATTGTTTGAAAAGCCTAAGTAGTGAAATTATAAACTCTTTGTATTGATTAAACGGTATAATGTGCATTGCAAGAGCATCTTAGTGAATGTTACATACTTGCAGACAGTCATTTGTCCTGTTGCTTTCTCTCCTTGTAGATCTGGGTCTCTTAAGTGTACATATATACAGGTATTATTTTTGTGATTATCTGATTGCTTCAGAAATTTTAGTTAAAGCACTATCAGTAAAATTATTTTTATATGCAGTTTGCCTAATTATATTCAGGACAGGTTTTTTGTTTTTTTTTTCAGGACAGGTATTATATTCCTTTTCTGTGGACTGTTCCTCTATGCTTATTTCCTAGCATGGAACCCCCAAGTTAAAGCCATTTTTATGCTGACACAAATAGACCTCTGGAATTTAACTAAAAAGTAATGTGACTGAAGTATTTACATTTGGTTATCTAACTGGTTAATTACTGATGATTATGAGTTAGGATTTGATAGAGTAGAAAATGTTTAATTCGTTTGGTTTATTTGTTGAAATTTGGGTTATAATTACTTTAACAGCCTGACTCAGATTATGTTCCTACTGTCAGCACCACTCTGTCAATTGAGGGTCACAGTTCGGAATAAAAGTAAACACTGCTGTGATTTTGTGTTTCACTTTCCTGAAAAATAGATGCTAAAGAATAGGTGGTAGGAAATTGTACTTTGCTGTTGCTAAAGACCTATGATGTCTTTTCACACATATTTGTATTTACTCTGCTTCTTTACTCCCCGCATGTAAAACCAGGTGATGGCATCAGCACATAGTCATCACCGGTGTAGGTGGCCTCCGTCCTGACCATTCCTTCAGTCCTGCCCCATCAGATAACTCACCTTCCCTGTCACTCTCACAAAAGTGATGAGAAGACATTAACCAAAGATCTTATATACATATATGCATAGCCCATGTACACAGACTAGAGTGGTGAAGGCCTAGGGTGGGGCGAGGACTAGCGGGGGTGGGGGGCAAAGGAAGAGAAATGGGGGACATCTGTAATACTGTCAACAATAAAAATATATATTAAAATAAATAATAAAATTTAAAAGCAAAAAAATCTCATCCTTTGCTTTAAATTAAAGAAATGAGCAGGAAAAAAAGAAACAGAAGAATTTTAAGCACCTTATTATCTGGTGAGTCTTCATTATTTTATGTCAGTGTTATGAAATTTCATTCATGTGAGCTTTATATAAACAAATTATTAATTTATAATATTTTGTTTTTAGGGAACTGCCCTGGTTTTGCACATTCTGGCAAGTATTATTTTTTTCTACAGAGTAACTTGACTTCTTTTAAATGAAAACTTTTCTTCTGAGCCGATACTTTCTGCTTTTAGGTTTCAAGTACCTTTGTGTTACTTCCAGGTTCATGCAGAGAAATGAGACATGCAGCCAGAAGCTCCTTAGTTTGTTTTACAGCATCACCATGGGGATTTTATTAAGTGCCTGCCTTTGCTGTACATCTCACTGTGCTAAGAGCTTCCTCTGACACTAAGGACAGTCACTGTCTGGCCTCCAGAAGATTGAAGTTCAAGTCAGAGAGCGGTGAAGGCAGTAGGTGTAAGAAAAACTGGACACCGGAACCCATACTGAACAAGGACAGAAACCTAAAGGGTAAATGTATCCGTCATTCTCACCTGAATATGCATGTCTGTCTTAGTATTGGATATGGTCTAAGGTATTTTGAATAATTAGCTTAATTGTTGCTCTCTAATAATAAGTCTACTTGCTTATGAAAAAGGATATGAAAATGTCTGACGTTCTAATGTTTATTATTTATTTAACATTTTTGAGGGCCTACTGTATGCCGTTTACTATGTGCTTGCTGCTGGACATTATGCCTTTAATTAGTCTACTATATGTTAGTACTTTTACCACTTCCTAGGCAATAAAATACTTTAGAACATGCTTACTCCATTTTCTTCTCCACTGTTTTGTGTTATTTTTGTCATATGTTTTCACCTACAGATATTTGAAATCCTCCAAGACATTACACTTAGTTTTTTGTTATCATCATTTATTCAGAATTCTATTTTTGTTGCTGCTCCTTTCTCTCTTTCCTTCCTTCTGTCCCCTGCTACTCATTTTCTTTCAACTTGAGCTGTCTTTAGTATTTCTTCTAGTGCAGCTCTTAGGGTGACAAATTCTCCCAGGTTTGGGTATGAAAATGTCTTTAATTCATCATCCTTTTTGAAGGATATTTATTACTGTTTATTGAATTCTAGGTTTACAGTTACTTTCTTTTTATACTTTAAAAAATGTTGTTCCATTATTTTTTATTGCTCCCATCATTTCTGTTGACAAATCAGCTGTTAGTTATTGATAATTTGCACTTTCTATTTTGTTTCCACCAAGTTAATTATTCACATTCAAAAGTGTAATTTTCTTTGTATTTATTCTACTTGGGGCTCATAGAACATCTTAAATCTTTGTCTTCAGTTTTTATCAGTTTTAGAAAATTCTTGGCCTTTATCTCTCCCAATATGGTTCAGTCCCATTTTCCATTCTCTCCTTCAAAGAGACTCCTGTTATATGTATTTTTGATCTATGCTTCATATGTCTCTTAGCTTCTCTACATATTTTCCATTCTTTTGACTCTGTGCTTCAATCTCAGCACTTTGCAATGATGTGCTTCATGTTCAGTAAACTTTGTCCATCTGTGGCCAATTTGCTTCTAACCTCATGGACTGAGTTCCTAATTCCAGCTATTCTACTTTTTAGTGTAGAAATTCAAAATTACTATTAGTAGATTCCAGTTCTCTGTCAAAATTCTCCATCTTGCATCTATTTTCTTGACTATATTCATGTAGTTCTTTTAAAGTCTGTACCTCCTAACTCAATATCTGTATCACTAGCTTTTTCTCTTGTTCCTGTAACCGGATATGTTTGGTAATATTTTATTATATTCTGGACATTTATATAAAAACTCAGGGGCTCTAGAAGATGTTCCTTGCTATAGAAAGAATTTACTTTTGCTTTTGGCAGGCAGTTAGTTAAAGGGCAGATCACTTTAACCCAATCAGGAATGAGTTAATTTAAGGCTGAATTTTAGTCTTTATAAAGACCTGTCTATTCCCGTTTCATCATTATCTTTACAACCATAACCCTTCAAGGGTCCCAATTAAAAGCCTTGAGCTGGGCCTTTTCTCTTTGGCAAGCTCTAAATTTCAATTTCCCTTTTCCCCAGCCCCCAGGAAACTGACAAAAGCTCTGCTCAGCTTCTTACCTACCACTTCCTGCTTCAGGTCTCAGTGTTTCAGCCTGTACTGATTTGGGCAAATGCCTCAAGAAGGAAAATAGTGCCAAAACTCAGAGTTACATTGACCTTCTCTCTGGAATCTCAGCTACTCAAGTGCTTTGGTAGCTCTTCCATGACTTCAACAGATTAAAATGCAATTTCTCCTTTTTAGTTATTCTTGGCTGGAGACTTGTTCTGATACAAACTAATCAGTCATAGCCAGAAGCCAGGAATTTAATTTTTAAGAATTATTTCCAAGAAATCATGGTATCCATATAGATTCCCCTGACCAGAGAGATGTTTCTGGTTTTTTAAAATCAGAACCCTTCTTATTCTCTAATTCCATAATTGCTATCTAGTATAATTTCCTCAATTATGAGACAACTGAGTCTGAAATAGAGGAATGTACACCAGTCTCTAGTTGGTAATGTGGGAAGCCACACATCTATAACTCCTGTCTAGCTTGAGTGCTCCCAGTGTCTTTTATGTCTTCTTATGGAACACTTACTGCATTATATTGTAACCATTTGTTTACTTCTCCATCTCCTCTGCTAGACTGGGAGCTGGAACTCTGTTGTATTTACCATTATATTTTTAGTGTCTACCATAGTATTTAGCATTTAGGAGGTATTTAGCAAAGGCTTTTAGAATAAAGGGCTCTTCTAGATAAGGTTACTTATATATAGATGAATAATACCTTTAAATTCTCATTAGCAGTAGTTTGAATTCAGAAAGGTTTTTTTTAACCCTGACTTTGCCCACATTTTCGATGAGTACCCTATTTAGAATCTGTGGATTCCCATGAATTTTTAATGCATTCAGGGGATTTTTGAGTTCTCTGGGCATTGAGACAGTGGATGACACTAATGATAAAGTACCAGAAGGGAAGAGACTGCTAACATGGGTAACATGGAAATTTAAAAATGGCTATCAGGAGATTAGTGCTCACCTTTACCAACATCCCAGATCTCTGAATTTAAGGTTTGGAGTTGAGTAAAACATACAACCAAACAAACAAGGACTGCAATACTCTTGTGGAATCACAGTCCATCTAGCCCAGTGCTCTGGTCTGGCTCCAACAGGCCTCCCTCCATACCAGTGCTTCCTTTACTTTTTATTGGTTTAAGGCATGCATGGGAAGACTTGGGTTTCATTTGAATCAGGTATATATTTTTGCTATATTATTAAAAGTTAAAATTACAGTTCTATTAAATTATACTGTACTCAAATTATTCTGTAGGAACAAATACCTGACCTACCTACTTTGCTTTCATTCCAGATGATTGGAATCCGAATTCCACCAAATGTGTAGTAAGTATATTTCTCTGTTTGACTTTAAATTGGACTTATTTAAATGAAAGATTTGGTTAACTGACAGCTGTCTCACTCTCTTCCAGGTTCAGATCTTTCTTCATGCTTTGCATTTGGTGTTTCCAGTAATTTGAACCAACAGAGCTGTTAGCAACAATTGCATGGGCTTTCTTTTACTGATTTTCATATGTCTCAGAAACATACCATCCCATGTTTAAAGGATGGAAATCCAAAGAATTCTTATATTTATTTCCTAACATTGTTTATCTGTGTTTCCTACCTAACATGCCCAAATCAAAGCCATATGGAATGTCTTCTCCAATCTTTGCTTGCTCCCAGTTTTAGAAATAAAAAATATATTTCTGAGTTTCCAGCTTTTGTTAATGGTGGAATAGCTTGATCATCCACAGGCAATAATGATGACATGTGGACAATTTGAAAGTATTGGAGAGTAACCAGAAGCAGGCAGTAATATGTGTAACCTTGAAAGACAACGATGACATTTATTTATGGGTTTTGTCTGAGAGCATTCTTCAGGCTTGGGTCACAGACCCAACAGAAGGTGTCAAAGGATGGAGTTCAAGGCCAACAAAAGAACTAAAAAATTAGAGGGGAAAATCCATTAAAAAAAAAATTACATCTGAAGAAACAGGAAAATGTGATACTTCCTCAAGAGGGAAAAATAGTCAGTAGAAACAGACCCTGAGATAACTTGATGTCACACCCAGCAGACAATGACTTTAAAGTAGCTATTAAAAATATGTTCAGAAATTTAAAGGAAGACACACACAATGAATTTACATATGGAGAATTTCGGCTGTGAAATAGAAACTGTAAAAAAAAAAAAAAAAAAAAGCCTAAATGGAAATTCCAAAGCTGAAAGCTACAATAACTGGAATGGAAAATGTACTGGATGGGCTTGACATCAGATTGGTGGCAACAGAAGAAAGAGTCATGAACTAGAAGACCAATAGAAATTATGTGGTCTGAAGAATGGAAAGAAAAATAAAACACGTATCTTGGGTGAAAACCGGAAGTAAACGTACGGCAGGATTGAAGTGAATGCCCGGTGCTAATACTAGCAATTAAGTCTGCAAAGAAAACAACTGAAAAGAAACACAACCTACATTTTGAATATCTAATCCTTGTAGTGTTTCTTCCAACGGTGAGAGGGAACCTGTTACCTGATTTCATAGTATGTTTTCCTCTATTTTCCTAAGGCTATTTCTCTTATGTAGACACTAGTTTCTTGGCTTTACATTCTCTTTTTTCTCTCTTATTCCCCTCATTTCTTCCAGTGGCTATGGCTTTTTCCTTATGTGTGCTACATTCAGGAGCCGGTTAATTATGAAATAGCTAACAGTGATGGGCCAAGGCAAAGGAAGCGTGTGGGACTAGGTCATCCCATAAGGTTCCGTTCCTAAGTGGTTTGCTTCTTGATTTATGCACCTGCTGTGTTCCACCTGAACTGTAATTTTAGAGTACTTGATACAGCAAATCATAGTGAAGCATTTAGGTATTTTTAAGTACCAGCCTCTCTTCAGAATCTGTGATACAGAATACCAAATGGTATTTCAAAATCAGTGTATTTTAATTATTGATCCCTCCAGACAAAATAGTTTCTTTTGGTTTACACTTTGTAGGTGCTTCACCAAAACTAACGGCACTTTCAGCAGCAGCCCCCTTTCTGTGGTCCCAGTGGTAGCACCTTGTCCCCAGGATGGTTTGGAGATGAAGCCCCTCAGTCACACGAAGGTACCTGCATGCCAGGCTTCCACACCCCCTGACTGCAGCCCGTCACCTGGAGAGAGCAGCAGGGATGATGTCGCACCAAGACCTGCTCCACATACGTGCTGCCAGGACAGCGGAAATGAGGTCAACTCTGGTTCCTCAGAAGATGCAGCAGAGTGCCACAGAGGTACAGGGGACGCCATACGAGCTAACTTTCTAGATGGTCTTCATCTAGCTAAAGGCAGGAAGGTCATACAGAGTGTTCTCTCTGGGATCACTCACTTAGGTCTCAGGAGACTGGGCGGGGGTGACGGATACTTGAATAGAAGTTGACGAGGTAGATGTTGAAATTTTGTTATTTACCTCCTTCCTCTCAGGCTGTTGATCCCGTTACATTCTGGAAAGTAAATCCAAATAGGTTTTGATTCAGTTTGCACCTGGCCAGTAGACTTGCTTGAAGAATGTGTTTTGTGGCCATGGACCTCTGGTTCATTTGAGTTGGTTATTTGGGGGCTTTTAAGGGCTTGCTGTAACCCTGAGTGAACTGCATAACTTCATCAGAGCTCAGCTTTATTTTAAACCTTTCATACTTTTGTCTCCCTCAAATTCAGACTAAACGTAACTGGGCCCTACTTCAACTCATTCTTTATTGCTCAAAGTCATGTGTTGAGACTGCTTTGTAAAAACCAGCCTTTATGATTTCATAATGCTCCCAAATCTTTGTGTCTTTCAGGAGACAGCTGTGTCCATTCAGAAACAGAGAACAAAATTTTAAGTTGGAATCCTCTTATTTTGCCATCTGCTTCAAAGGACTGTACTGAAAAGACAGCGTGGTCTCCTGGGATTCCGTTAGACAGCCCCCCCGGGGTCCTTCAGCAGCCCCGGGAAACCTGAGGACGTGCACACGACTAGTCTCATTTCCCCTCCAGGCCAGTCGCTGCACAGAACAGGCCTGGCAATGGGCCGTGTGAAGGACATTAATTCAAATCAGAGAAAAAGCATTATTTATTTTTGTAGTAGTAATGTCATATGAATGTACCTTAAAATGTGTGCCCTTTTATATTATTTATGCCTTAAAAGTTTTCCTATCTCTTCCTCCCCCTCAGTAGGAAACAGCCTAGTTTGCATAGTTTTCAATCATCTCAGAGCATTCCATGTTTTCCACGCACCTCAGTGACAGAGCGCCTCGTGCAGGGACCCGGCCTGTTGGCTGACTCAGCTGAGGGACTGCAGGCCCTTGAAGTTTCACATATTGTCTTTCAATATTGTCTTACCAGACTTGCTGAGAACATTTTGAAGCAACCACAGTTGTAACCTGCTGTTGACAGTAGCAGATCTCATGATTTTTATTAGTGCCTTCCACAAAAGTGATAGCTGAGCTGGTGACTCACTCTGTCTGCACATGGGTACAAGCCACATCCCGCCTTCTCGGCACTGATCACACACAGTGTCCTGGACGTGGCTGAGGCACGCTTGGGCTGTCACAGCCCACAGAAGGGAACCAGGGCCAGAGAGGACAATGCCTTCAGGTCCTACTGCTTTAAAATTGCATTTGTTTATAAAATGCTTATACTGTGGGCCTCTTTGTAACTGTTTCTAAGAGCAGAAACAAAAAGAAGACTTTAAGTTGATGACTTTGAGAGAAAGATTGACATTTTAAGAAGGAAGGGCAGGGAGGTTTGCAAGGGCGCCCGGCCGCAGCAGCTCTCATCAGACGAGGGCTGTGCCCATGGTGCTGCGCCAGCCCAGCATCGTCCTCACGTCCAGCGTGGACGGTACCTGGAAACGTGGCTGTTAGAAGAGGCTCAACGTGGGGGTGAAGGAGGGTAGGGACTGAAATTTCCTGACATTCTCAGATGTCATTGTGAACAGGCACCTAAGCGTTGGTTAGCAAGCTCGTCAGTCACAGCTACGCTGCCTCTGAGTGACAGGGCGTTTGCAGCTGCCTCTGGAAGGTTTTCTCCACATCTTAAAAAAAAACAAAAAACACTGTGTGTTGAGTAGCTGAGTCCAGCTTTAATGGATCATTGCTCCTTTGTGGAATGTGTGTCCCTTTGGGGAAAGAAACTGAAAATTCTCTTTAGAGTCCAGCAGTTTCAGCATAAATGAAAAAGTTCTACAGTTTCCCAGAAATTTCAGTGAAACAGACTAGAATACTGTGTTGGTCAGCTGTCTACATACGTGTGTCCGTTTCCCTCACACGTTCATATGTTTCATAAATAGAGCTGTTAGTGAGATGTGCTGTCGGAGCTGAGTCACTCTGCAGGCATCCCCCGAGTAAAACAGAGTGAACGGAACTTCCCCGCCAGGTAGCAGGGATGCCGGAGAATCGATTTGTCCACTCACATGTCCAGGCCTGTGCAGAATAGCATTTCTCCGTGTTGCACAGATGCAATTAGCTCTGGAGGGATAGCTGCGTCCTTGACTTCGGTGACTAGCAAAGGACCAAGTCCTGGGACACAGACTATGAAAGCGAACGCCGTGTTTGCCGGTCAAGTTACAGCGATGCTGTCACAGAGCGAGTTTTGGTCATTTTGATTCAGGAAACTAGTAGCGTGAGCCTAGGTCATAAACTGCTTAGAATGATGGAGTTTGAACACGGGATCTGCCCACCAGGAAAAGAAAGCGACTTTACCTTCAGGGCAATCTCATTGTGGACTGCTTTATTTATATGATTAGTAACGCTGTTTTAAGTGTTATCCCTTTTATTGTATTTTATTTATAAAAAAAAAATGCCTTTATATATTAAGATATATAAATATAAATATAACTATATATATAATTGCCTTTATGTGTAGGAGTTATGAGTTCTCCCTCGTCAGGAGTTGTTCTGAGTTTTCATGCCCTGCTCAGTCCCCAAAACTAGTTCTGCCTGGTGTCACTTCACCAGGAAGTCCAGGGACGTGGTCCACCGCAGGAGGTGGCACCGACATCCGTGCAGTAATTGCAGTGCACGGGACGCCCAGCTCAGAGTTGTCCCTGCTCTCTCACTGACCCTCACAGCAAACCCACAAGTAGGTGTCGAAGCCCACAGGCCTCGCAGTGAGCCGCAGGGCCCGAATCTGAACCCAGTTGATGGGGAGCCGTAATCGGAGCTCCTTTCATTTTTCCACGCTGCTTTCCAAAAGCACTGCGGTTCCCTCGTGATGGAACCAGTCCAGCTCCGCATGCGGCGAGATCCCCTGACGCTCCACCAACCGGAGAAGCTGCCCTGTGCCCCGCGTGGGCAGAGCTGTGCGCCGTTTCTCCGCCTTCCCGGAGCCCGTCTCTCCCTTTGACCCCACCCCACCCCCACCAGAATCTGACCTTCGCATGGCTTAGGGACACTGTAGTCGGCCCGGCCTCCTCCTGTTCCTTTTCTCCTCTGTATTGTTATTTTTAGCACTAAACTGCCCCATTTCTCTTATATCCTTTCACTATCTCCTTTTTTCAATAATGCACTGGTAGTGTGGTGACAGGTGACAGTCTGGTGACAGGTGACAGCCTGGTGGCGTACGGGACGTTAGTTAAACTGCAAGGTTTTGAACCTTATGAAGTGGTCTTTTCAAACATTTCTCCCCGAGTTTTGTTTCTGTTGAGCAAGTGTGAAGGCCAGCCCGCGGCCGTGCGCAGCGGGTCAGGCCGGGCCGCAGATCTCATCGCAGCTACAGCACTGCCAAGAAGCTCGTTTTAGGACCGGATCTCACCTGTGTTGCTGCCTTTTAAAGTAATGACTTTGAGATGCATGTTTTTGTATCATATTGAAAAGTATGTTTTGTTTTCCTGAAAGTTGTAATAGTACGTTTGAAACTGTACATATTTTAAGTGATGTAGCTTTGACAGGTCCTATTTGATTGATATGATGTTATATTAAAAGAGAATGCTGCTTTCATGTGGAGCTGCAGTGAAGAGGGGACGCTCAGATACTCCGTTTGTATAAAGCTGCTTGTAGCTTGTCACTGGGGTGAGGGGGTGTCTTACTCTGAAATTCTCCGGAACCTCCACCCTGCCCTTCCCTGGAACCCC